TATGTGCTGAAATTGAAATCGGGATTTATTACCTTCTCGTCACGCGAACAAATGTTTGAAGAATATAAATTGGCTTAGCGAGCAGTAAATATCGCGTTTAAAATTTACTTCAAGGATTAGCCGTATAGCTTACGTCAGCGTATCATCTGATTCGTGTAATGAATAGCTTTTATACTCCCTTGCGAATAATCCGAAGCGAAAAGAACGTGCGAAGGAAGGGACCGGTGACGCCAAGGTTCCGGTAAGAAAAAAAAGCATTCGTCTGGCAAATCTTCGGCCCTGAATAGGGCCCTTCAAGACTTTACACCCCACCACCTGGCACCGACGTGACCCGACGAAGTCCGTGAAGGTTCGTACCTTTGTCCCAGGTAGAAAACCGATAACCTCGGAGAGAGATGAAAGACTGCGTTCTAGTGTGAAAATATTATTTTTGACGGAAATCTATCGCTAAAGTTGCGTAATTTTTGTCTTGTTAGTAAAAAATTTATTTCGAACAATTTATTTAATTGGCAAATTTATTTCGCCAACAAAACGCTTTGTTTCGCGCCAAAATTTGTGCTAATAATTATTAATATTGATTGCACAGTGACCTACAATATGTAATAATTTTGGATGAAATATTACATGAAGTACGAAATGGTAGCGGAAATAATTTAAAAAGTAATCATTAACGGGTGATAGCGCTTGATGATGATTTGTTCGTGCCAAGTGCCAAAGTCAACAAAGTCTAATAAAGCAACGGCAACAGCGGTGGCAATGACCTGCAAGAACGCGAATTCAACTACACGATCGGCTCCAGCTGGTGCACTTGCATAGGCAACAAATGGCTCTCACCCCAATATCTCAAGTTACTATTTAACTATCTTTATTCACGCTCTGTTTGCAATGCATTTGAGCCAAAAAATTTAACACATACGAACTTTGATTATTATTTTATTAATTAATCACTAACTAATCAGGCATTTAAGATAATTATTAACACAGACAATGAATTTAACATAATTTTGAACAACAATCGATTTATAAGAAATTGTCAGTGAATTGATTTTTTTTTATATATTATCATTGTACCAATAATATAATTTACTCTATCTACAGGATTTGTCACGCGTTAAACTGTTTTGGTAATTAAATCTTCAATCCGCGCGTAAAATAGCCTTTTTCTTTCCATTTGCACGCAGCAAGTCGATTAGGTCCAGCTGGAGCACTCTACGCAGTCATACAAATAGATCTTGCGCTCGTACCTCACGGCGATGCTATCTTCGTGCGTTGAATCGTTGTTCCGTATTTAAAGAGCGCAGGTCAAGTACCCGCGCTAAACATTCAGACATCATATCCGCGTATAACACTGAGTAATCGTACACACAATTATTATACTTCCTTAATCTTTCACAAAATGTCCACAAAATTCTGAAATCATAGATCAAACAGAAATTATCCGTGACGCATACATTTACATATTTCCATCACTGTGTATTATAATATTTCAATTCGCCACATGTTATGCTAAATATATAATTTCCCTCGATAATGACAGTTATTAAGTCACTCTTTCAACACTGCGCTTTCGATTCCAATATGCGCGTACCTCAGCCGATAGTCGGTGAATGAAAAAAAATCTGGAATTCCCAGTGGGTGGACCAGTTCTCCATTCCCGAAGATCTGTGCATGACCGCCGTGTCCTTTCACGATGGACATGCGTATCGCTCCTTCTTACAGCAAGTTTTACAAAAATTGCCGAGCACAGATTCGATCATTTTTTTTTCGCTTCCCGTCCAGTTCTTTCACTTTTACATGTTGCTTCGAAATTATTCCTTAAACAGTCATCCAATTTCATACTTTGTAAAGCTATTAACTTGAAAATTAAACATACTTTTTAATTATCCAATTTGTCATACAAATAACATACTTTATTATATATTAATTTTTATTATGCATTTATTTTTAAAGCAACATAATATATGAATGGGGGGAAATATTGCTGAAAGGTTAATAATAGAAATATGATGAGCTATGATTTAGATCGTTTTATTTTCAAAGCTTTTATGCACACGTAACGATCAACTGCGTAACAATACTGTTCCTGGTGATCGTAAAGAAAGTCCTTTCCCTCTCTTTTTCAATGCACACCGTCACGATACATTCAATTCTTCCATGATCATAGTTTCTCTCTCTCTCTCTCTCTCTCATTTATTACAATATAAAGTAGTTAAGAATTAAATAGCTATTCGTCCTATATTATATAGAGAATATACCTATGGTTCGTTTTACACATAGCTTTCTCCTGTAATCAAATGACGAGCGTCGTGAAAATCGCTCGTACGATAAATCGTCGTAATATCTGCTCGAATTATCTCGAGTAAATGTACCGAGGGCATAATCGTAGAACTTTGCACACAGAAACGCACATCGTTAATATCCACAAACATTCTCGACGAAAGAAGCTTAAGGATACGTCGTAATAACGTTTATACAAGATTAGTCCGAGTCGCGTTAGCGCTTCCGACAAAAATCATCGCACACCTCGTTAGCTAGCTTATATTACAGTCGACTATCTTGGCAATATAGGATTACTTCGAGGATCGTCGAGGTCGGATATCAGGAATTACCTTGAATATCCTTCCCGCATCTCTTAATATTATAATTTTACATTAACACTTTTGAATATAGTGAACGAGACCGCGCATAAAGCGTTAGGGATACGTGAATCTTTTTACGTAATACGCAAATAGGAATTTTTTCTTAGGAGTACACAATGTTTGAAAAACATCTGGCCTCTCTCTCTCTCTCTCTCTCTCTCTCTCTTTTCCTGTAATCAGACATTCATATCTTCTAAGACAAATTTTTCAATTTCAGCGATGAAATACACCGGAAATTTGTCTTTACTCTACGAAAATTGAAATTATACTTATCTCGCGATTTATGCAGATAAAAAAATCTGCAGGATAAAAATATTGCTCTTTAAAATATTCCGAATAAATCACACTTTTAGAATTTGGCTGTTTTATGTTGGTAAATTGTGCTATAGAAAGTCTAAATGTTCAGAAAACTTTTCGTATAAATCGGAAAATTCGTGCATTTGGAAAGATGTATTGCTTCTCAAGTCGTAATGTAATAAAAAATGGTTTTCTAGAAAATTTATAAAAATATTGCGTGATGAATATTAACGTTTCAAGTGACGCGATATTTTAACTGTTCGTGAGAAGAATCGATCGTCGACGACGGTTGAGACTATAGGAAAAATGTTTATTGTACAAATTCTTTCGATGGCGATCGACTAGTAGCAATTACAGGAAAGACGCGAATTACATGATTTACAAACACACGAAATACCTGAGGAGAATGTAATCACGAATGCTAGCGAGTCAAATTGCGCATTGCCTTATTATCATTCGTACATCCTTTCTTTACAATAATACGATCACACTATTTGTTTAATAATTGAGACAGTATTAAAAATTGAAGATCTCTATAGAAAGCTAAGACAAAGATGACTACGAGGCAAAAACATATAACGCATATGTTAACACATATGTTTAAAAAAAGTAAAAGTATCGAGTCGATACATCAAACGCTTTCTCTTCGCTACGAGTTATGCAAGTTTCAAATTAATATTCCACATAGTCTCACTTAGCATTTCAGAAACATCGCCTAAATATACATACGGAACATCGTCGAAAATCATATACGACTTAAGATCGCTTCACTTTCCATGCACGAACTATAACTAGCAACGAGTTGTTTGAATAATGAAAAGGTTTTTTAAACATATTTGTTATGTCGATGTTACAATGACTGCAGATTTGTAACCGTCGAATGATAGAAAGAGTATAATATTTTTTTATCGATTATTTAGCGAAAAACTTGGATGAGTATAGCATGAAAGTTACTAAGAATTTTACTAATATATATATATTTTTATTTTTACTTAATAAATTTAAAATTTTTCAAGGTTTCATCTTACTCCATCATCAAATTTTCATATATTTTCGAGTATCATCTAATTCGAATAATTAATAATTTTTTTCCATACATATAATGGATACTAAATCAGTCTATGAGTAACAAACATTTTATTATACAATAAAAATGCTGCAATCGACGTCATTGTGCATTAATCGAGTTCTACGCCGCGAATGCGATTTCGCACAATATTTCTTACCGCTGATTTTTAAAAAATGTCACGTGAATTTATGTTGTTTATGCGATACATTTAGTAGAATCTTTTCTTTATGGAGGAAGTGCCGAGGAACGCGCTCATCCGATTTCAAAAGGCGGCCGACACTATTTTGGTGTACCTTCTAACTTTACGTGCTCCTGCCAAAACGAAAAAGCGCTCTCGGAAACATAATTGGTGTCGGAATAACTCGTCTTCTGCTCTGGCACGTGTCGAAAATCGCGTTTGTGACAATAACAAAATGTAGCGATAATTACGATAGCAAAGTCACGTTGTGGTATCTACTTTCTCGCTAATCTCTTTCTGCTTCAACCAGAGTATTCGCATTGTGTAAATATTAATAGCGTTTATGTAAATTCACGAATATTAAAATGTAGTATATTGTTCTACAAAATAATTTTTGCTGATTGACATTCGATTTTTAGGATAATCCTTCAGTATCTTTATGCTTTCATGTGACTAGTTTGCAATCTCTGTGCACTTACGTAACTTAGATCACAATGGGTAAATAGAACAATAAAAGTATGCATATTTTAGTCGGTGGCAACGACCTAGTCAGTGTCTTGAAAATAATGTATGCCAGTAACCGAATCTATTTTCGAGAGTTTAGTGAAAATTTCTTTAAAATTCATTTAATGAAAATTTTGTTGGAAACTTTATTGTTCAATTTTTCATTTTAATTAAATGTAATGAAAGATTAAATTAAACTTGAAATTAAAATATTAATTATTATAAAATGAATTACTTTTAAAGAAAATTTAATTACAATTCATTAAAACAATTTTAATTATTAAATTAATGAGTATAAAATACCGTACTTTTTAGCACCGAGAAATAATGTTATTACCGATACATATTCTTTTAGAATCCCTCAAAGAACATTTATAAAATAATTGGTTTTGTAGAGCATATTCATACAATTTAAATTTTCGTAATTTTGAAAAATTACGTAATAAATGTTTTGACGTCACATCAATATTACCGACATATTTTTAATTCGTTATGAGTGATATTAATAAAAATTTACACATCAATAAACAAATAGCAGGATTATGAAATCATCATGTGATACAATCTCAAATATTTATCAAATATTAATAATATGTACATGCCGCATTAAATATCGAATCATTGTTATACATAGATAACGCGACATAATGATATCGTATTGTAATACATATTTACAATTAATGATATGTGAAAATAAGTAGAAGTACGCAGCAGGTATGCAGATTTGTCAGGCTCCCGCGACATATCACTCTTCGCACAAAAATTTGTCTACCTACTAGCGCATGCATATGCATAAAAAAAAAGATAAATCGACGAATGGGTGTAAGGTGAGCGGACAAATAAAAAGAGATCGATTTACAAATAAATATAAAACATATATTTAAATTAAATGCCACAAAATATCTTGTTTTGCGATAAATCCGAAGACAGTGTATACCCTTTTTTTTTCGTTTTAATTTCTCCATTTGAAATTACAGTGCCAATGATAATAGATCGGTTATCCTTCTATAATAGTAACACGTGCACGCGTTTCAACAAAGCAATATATACCACCGATATATAAAAAATTAAGTGAACAATTATACCCATTATTTGAAGAGAAAAAAAAATCTATACAAATCTATGTAAAAAAAAAGAGAATTCGCTAAAAGTCACCGACAGTCTAATTCGCCGGCTGAGTCCCCTCCGTATCGTCGATATAGTCAGTCTTAATCAACTTACCACGTATCATCCACCGCACCCCAGTTTCACGCGGATTCGTGACAGAATAATTAAAATACTTCTCGTTTCCTGCCGCGCGCGAGCATTCTACCGAAGCGAGGGAGAGCCGAATTAAAGAAAAATAATTCTCCCTTCGCTTTCACTCTCTTTCCCCTAAAACAAATTTGAACTTTCTTTTTTTAACAAAACGTTTCAGTTTGCGCGAATACGTGTACATCTGAAAAAAATTTTTATCAGAATTTAATTCGGATCGGGGAGTATTTTAAAATTATATCTTTTACCTCCTTTTATTGTCACACGTGAGATAGTTTATACGTAAAAAATATATTTTTTAATATAACTCAATTTTGATTAAAAAAATTAATGCTTCTTTTGATGGGAAAAAACACTTGAGAATTTTAAAAACAATGTCTACGTTCAACCATTTAAAACTCATAATCTCGTGAAATGAATTTCTATAAATTAACTCATTTTCTTTTACACGGTTGATTTACCTTCTGTATTTCGTCAAGTGATTGAAAGCTTCCGAGCACGAATGCACCTTCTTCGTAACACGTACAACTTATAGTTAACGAAAATTATTATTGCTGCTGACTCTCGCTTAGTCGTGGACCGTACTATTATTATTGCTCTGCGGGATACAAAGTTCGATGAGGTGGAAAATTCGCGGCTGCAATCGCTGAGCCACTTTCAGTCGGGAAGCAGATTCTTTAACGGCGCTCGTTATCGGTGTCGCATCGTTTCTCGGGATCGCTCGGTATTTATTGGCATGATCATCTCGCGCTGAGCAATGAACACTAACTGTGGTACATACGCACACAGGTGATTTTCAGGAAAATAGAAAACCGTTCGCACCGCTTCGCGCATCGACGTTAACATTTCGCAACATTTCGTTGGCCCGTTTCAATCGTTCATTTAGAGCTAAATGCAGAAGCTGTCTGATTCGCATTCGGCGAACCAAGCGAACAAAGAAATGAAGTAAGCTGCTTTTAGCGTTAAACGTGGGCGTGCAGTTTTCGTTTCTCATTATCGAATAAAGGAAGCCGACGGATCAGAAGAGCCACATTTAGCGTTAAATGCGATGCCGTGCGAAATATTCGCACGCTATGCGCGCACGATTATTAAATTAATGAGATATTCGTTAGAGCAGTTGAAGGGTCAATGTCTGTGAGTTACGCTGGATCACTCCTCCTCTCCTCTTTAACGTTCGCACAGATACATGTGTATTATAATACATCGTACGTCCTTACACAACTATGCGGCTAATTGATATCTGTAGGTACGTGGGTAATTAATTAATTGCTTACACGATTTATGTACAAGTTATCACGGTTTCAGGTAGCCGAGAGGATTAGTGGCGATCAGTAAAGCGTCGCTTTATACTACGCGGTAACGAAATTTCAGCGCACTTTTATCGAATACAACACAAACACACTCTTTTGCTCCACTCGTTCCTCAAATAATTATCGCAAATTGGCCTAATTCATCCTTTCCTAAGACTTTTTTTCGCTACGTCGATAAAGAAATTCATTCGTTAACGCACAACTAACGCAGATTTCTTTCCGCGAGATTAGTAAATTCCTCTTCTAAGGCGAAAAAAATTAACAAGAGACGGCACGAGAGCGCACGTACATCAAACCGTGCCGTCTGCGCGAGAAAGAAAACAGAATGCGTTACATTCCTGCCGCCGAACACATAGAGACACATGTACAATTATCCTACGAATCGTTAAGAATTAAATATCACAATCTATGATAAGAAGTTCGCGTATATGCGTCCTGCATGCTGGCTGGCCGCGCGCGCTCTTCGGGAAACTGCAGTGCGCGGAGATGAAAATCAACGAGTACGTACAAAAATAAATAATTGTCTTGGGTGAATACAGCGGGATCGTGTAGCTCACTAATCTGTCTGTTTGGGTCTGCGCGTGGACCTACGTGGTACGCCTGCCATTTGCTTGGACGATCGATCATTCCTTTCACGAACGAAGCGCTGAGAATAATTTCTAGAAACTGAGCTACGATTTTTTGCTCGCCAAATTAATTTGAAATGACTAGTGTATTTTTGGCTCCTTTCCGTGGAAATCTGTAATACGCCGCTGGCATATAATTACATTTGCATTGTGCGCAATGCCGCATTATACGCTCAAACGACATCTCGCACGTATGTGTCTGTAATGTGTGTCTGAGTATAATGTATATATAATGTATGTGTTCAGCGTGTGCATAATGTTCCAACAGATTTCTACCGAAAGGGCGTATAGATGAGATGAATTTATGTTCCACAAAAGTTCGATTCAACCAATTATTATTTTTGACGCTATTGTACGTGCCAATTCAAGATTGATAGAACTAAATTTAGCCACTGGTCTCTTCAATCTCCGTATCAGAACGCAATCCACTCGAAAGAAAATAACATTCTTGATTCGTTTTTGTTCGTATTTACATCACAAAATTAAACGCAGGAACCAAGCTCAAAAATAAATCACTCGGGGCTCCAATTTTCATTGTAGCCTTATAGTAAAAATGGTAAAAAAAAAAAGAAAAAAAAGAAGCGAATGTAACGTTAAATAATGGCGCTTCACGTTCGCTATACATATATATGCAAGAGTGGTAAGAGATCGTGATCGATAAAAAATATATATGTATGTATGTGTGTGTGTGTACATATATATAGTGTATATATATATATTATATATACACACCATATGTACAATACAAAAACTCTCTATATGTCATTCGTATTATGAAGTCATAAGTCAAATTTTTCTTTTATCTACGCAAAGACTGTGTGAACGCTCAACGCGTTTCTATATACAATATGGGACAAGTATATAATCTGCAATCTATTTACAAAGGTCATGCATAATTCAATAATAAATGCGCGGCATTCTATATCGTGAAAAGAATCACATGGTCATAATTTTTATCGATCAGTTAAGCTCTAAACATGCGGTTATCAATTTTTCATTTCGCGGAGAGCTCTCTTGCGACGAGAGCAATTTTGTATACTAATTTCCGATAGAAAACTCAATATTTCCTTGAAGAACACTTCAAAAAATTGCATAATAAAGATCCTCGTAGCTTTTATGATGCGAGGAGTCGTGACGTGCGTCGACGAGAGAGAAAAAAAAAAAGGACTGAAGGAATGTTCTGCGAACGTCACGAACTATAGAATAAGTCACAACGGTGCACTACGTACTGTGAGAATTCTGTGCGGAAATTTTACATGGGTATTTCGCGGCGTTTTCCATTCGTTTGGTTATTAAGACACGCTTCTCAATCGTTCCCGTCCCTCTCTGTCTCTCTAACCTAATCCCTATCTTACATTGTAAATTCAGCGAGTAAACGGGAGCGGGATGTGCAACCCGTTCCTTTTGTCCGCGGAGTTCCGTGAGTTCAGGTACACGTCCAGACGCGCGATCGTCATGGGTCGTCGAACATCCACGGCGATCCACGACGATCGGGGGGGAGGGAACTCGCGTTTTGAGGCTAAAAGCTTCGCGCACAAGAGAGGAAGGTCGAAGGTCTCGGCGCGAAAAGAGTCCAGATTAATATCCTAGACCGGCTCCTTCACTCGATCAATTCCGTGATTGCGCGAAGTACTCACATCATGGTGGCGGTAGAAACAAGAACCTTCCCTCCTCGACGGGCTGCGGACGTGGCATCTACTGCGGCGGCGACGACTAGGATGACCACATGGGCGGCGATGGTGAAGAGGGTATCGTGAAAGAAAAGAGGTAGACAAACGACGCCCGCAGCGCACGGTCCTCAGCCCGGGGTGGGTGGGGTCTTGTGTCAGTGAATATTGAAGTTGTACTGCTTGCGGCTGGACGAGATGCGGAGCCACCGGCTGACCGCCAGCGGCTCCGGATGGTAATTCGACCAGGTGATGTCGCCGAAATGAGGATACGGCGACGACGTGGTCGTCGCCTCGACCTGGATCGACGTCGAGAAGTCCTGCGACGATTGGCAGGACGTGAGCAGATCGTGCTGCGACTTTACGTGCCTCTTCTGCTGCCGCGACGACACCGCGTGATTCAGCCTCTTCCCGTTGATCTGACTGGCGTGTTGCTGCTCCAACTGCTCCACCGGCTCGAACAGGTTCAGGCCCGATATGGAGGCCTGCATCTGCTGATAGCTCCTGGCTGGCGACTGCGACGTGTGACTGTTCGGTCGCGATTGTATCTGCATCACTAGCTGCGACTTGGTGTCCTTGGCGGCGGCGGCGGCGTAGACGGGCGAATACATGGACATCGTTTCGGCGTCGATGTCCACCGGAGTTTCGGCCTCGAGCACCGTGGCGACCACCGTGGCCGGTTGCACGCAGGTGGCTGGCAGTGGCGCCGATATGACCGGCATCGCAGACGTCGCGGTGGTGCTCGGTATCAGGGTGGCCACTCCCGGTGATCCCTCGCTGTTACCTGGCAATGGGGAGAGGGAGGGCAGCATCACGGATATCGGCGCCATCATCGAAGCAGACTGCTGCTGCGACCCGCCGCTGCCGCCGCCGCTGGCGACGGTGGAGTTGACCACCAGCGTGGACTCCAGATTCCGCAGCTCCTCCGCGTTGACGAAGTCCTCTTCAAGTTTGGTCTAAAAAAGAGAAGTGTTGGCGACTCGTAGAGTAAGAATCGTAGGGCCCATAGGAGAAGGTGGCGTTTAAGTGCCCAAAAGAAACCATGCCTTACAGGTTTAGTGGAGCCATGCGGGGCCAGACACCGATAAAGCAAATCAACAGCCTGCAATAACAAAAACAGAAAACAAGTATCAACCGACACCCTCTGGCTTAGCGCTGACTCGACTGGGTCGATCGATCCATGTTTGTCAGCAGAATCGCATAATTCTTTGATTTTTTTCTCTTTTTTGTCTCTACGTGATATTTTTACGCTTAGAGAAATCTACGAAAATAGTTATAATTTTTAATATATGTAGAGAGATGAAATATTAAAAATATTTTGCTTCATCTTACGACTAGCAACGTGATACATTAAAAGAATATATATAAAAATAATATATGAATACATTATCTACATTTTTTAATTAAAATTGAAAAATATTTAGAATTAAGATACTCATGACACAATCTTCAGCTTCGCAAGAAAATCATATAGATTGCTAAAGACTTATATTTATGACTTCTGAGAATGCTATCAAATATTCAGATAAACTTTGCTCCCGTGTGAGCAAAACTAATCTGCAAAATATATTATGAAATTGATATAAAGTATCAAGTCTAATACATATTTTTAGGTATCTAATGCTATCTTTATTGTATTATCTTTATTATTTAGCAGTATCTTTATTGAAGATACATAGGAAATTGAAATTCTTCTTGTATTCTTCTTAATCCAGGATATGCCTGGATTTGTTACAATTTTCTGGAATTAACTACAATTTTTAGGATTCTTAAAATAATAGTTTAAACTATTCCTCTCTATTATGACTTTAGGAAATGATATTTCTTCAGCTTCTCAATGTTTAACACTATAACAGTACGTGGAAATGAAAGTTCTTTTCAAAGCACAATATACAAAATAAGAGAAAGGACCAACATCATGCATAATGTCTCAAACTTATCGAAAGGTACACAATAATTTCGACAGAAAGTGAGAAAGCCACAAATTTCTCGTCCGCATCTGTTTTCCTCGAATGCGTCGAAAATAATAATAAAATCTACCCAACGCAAGAGACAAACTGTACTTGTAGAAGTTTATCCCTAATCACACACGTTCAAGCCAAAACTTTCATTTCGTCGCTGCGCCAGCAACCGTGTTTTACTCAGGTTGCTCGCCCAGAGGAGACTAAATATTTATGATCATAATACGACGTGGCAAATGAAGAAGAGTCACACCGACGACACTACAGAGACGGGGGGGAGGACGGTCACAGGGCGAGGAGATCGTGTGAAAAGATTCGAGATACAACAATTGCGAGGGGAAAAAAAAAAAATGAAAAGACTGTCTGCTTACCTTTGGCAGTGGATACGTGTCTGGCAGCGATAGTACAGGCGGCGAACTTGGTGCTTCCGGCTCGGCGATGGATATCGGGGTGTTAGGGGCAAGGGGATTGTTTAAGCTGGACGCAGCGACGGCGGCGGCGGCGGCGGCGGCGGCGGTAACGGCCGAGGACACGGTGACAGTGCCGGCGACCGTCACCTTCGTCGTCTGCCGACTACTGCCGTTGTTCGGCTGCTCCTTCGCAGCGCGATGCTCCGCGAGCAATTTGTCGAAGGTTTTGCTGCGACCGACGACCGTTCGGCGCATCGAGACAGTGTGAGCCTTGCATGTGAGCGACCTGGTGCACGGCTTGCCGGTCTCCTCGATCCAGACGCCGCAGTGCCGGTCGGGATCGTATTCGCGATCCTTGAGCAACGACCGGTCCGTTTTAAGCCTCTTCCGACGAGGCTGGCCACCTCCGCTACTACTGCTGCCGGGACTTTTCCCCGAACTGTTACCGCCGCTCGTTGACACGCCGACAGCATTTGAAGGACCGGCCACGGTAGAGGAGGTAGTCTGCACTGATATCGTTTCGAGCGGCGATCGAGGTGACGAGGAGATCGGCAGCGTGCTATTTATGGATAGGCTAGGCTGATCCACAGTACGCTTAACGGTCGCATGGTTCAGCTTTGCATTGCCAGCATTGGTGATTGACGAAGATGTAGAGGCGGAAGTGGAGGCTGGTGACTGGGTGGTTTTCTTTAGTTTGGATAACTTGCAGTAGGGAGTTTTCACGGGCGGTTTTGAGGTCGGGGTCGGGGGAGGTGGAAAATTAGCCGTGCCAGAAGGATGACGACTCTCTGTGGCAAAATAGAAGTGTGTTTACAAGTTTTATACCTGCAATGTGCATATCAAGTCGCTAATGAGTTGAGAAAAATTTTCTGACAATTTGTCGGTGTATCTACAAGCCTCAAAATTATAAATTAAATCATTTCTTTTGTACTTTTGTATTACAATATAACAAATTATTCATATTATTTTAATGTAAATTTTAACCGAATAATCATGATTTTATCTACAAAGTTTAAATTTTAATCTTTGATTCAATATATGCTGCTCATACATTATTGATACATGAGAATTTTACATCTTTAATTAGATACAAATATACTTTATTCAAATCTCTTGTATGATAATAAATTTTAAAAATTAAACTATTTTTGCTTATTTCTGGATTTACTGATGATTAAATTTTTTATCCTAATATGTTCTATATAGTTATTAATATTTATATTTGAGGTGTACTTATTGATCTATACATTGCAATATGGACATCATGATTATGTTATACATAAAACAACTTAATTATACTTCATCATTCAAATAATAATTAATGAAATGCGAATACATACCCATGTGTTGAATGAGAGCTTGTGGTTTTACTATAGCATTGCATATTTCACATACTACTCCATAAAATGTGTCTCTCTCTGGGCAGAAGCCATATAAATCAATATCTGGAAAGCATTTAATAAAGTCAATATTGTGTAAGTATAAAGATGAAAGAAACAAATGGTATGCATTATACCTTCTGCAGAAAGTCTTGTGACTGAGCTTGAAGGCTGGACATCTGTTTCTTCATCACCTGAAATGTGTAATATATTTTTATATTAGCAAATATATACCAGCAAATATTAGTCAATGTGAAATATTCTTGTTTTTGAACAACTAATAGCTCTTATTTTACACACTGTTTAAATCATAAAATATTTCACCACACATATACTGTATTCCTTAATGCCATAAATGCTTAATATGGCTATAATTAAGACTTAACGCAGATTTATATTTTAATACTGTACGTTAATTCTCCATTATTCACACTAATTCTATCATCAACTATATATTACACCTATTATCTACAGCAAAAGATTATACCATGTTCTACCAACTCCACCAAATAATTTTAATTATCCAAAATACTTTGCAGAATAATTTTTTTTTTTAATTTTTTGAACTCTTTTTAAAGTAAGAAGAATGAGACAAAAGTAAGAAATAGAAGTGAGAAATTTAAGAAATGAGAAATAAAGAACACAACTTTGTGGTTAAGTGAGTTTTATTTTTTTATTTACATCTCGCATACATGCATAATTGCGGTTGCTGTACAAAATTCGTCAGAGTCAAATCCAAGAGAAAGAAATTACATTTATTTCTTTATACGTGCATATACTTCAGTAACAGTGTATCTCCTGTATAAGAGACACCCTCTACAGAATCTACCCGCGCCCATCGTCATGCTCGTAGCAATTGTTTTACTCTCGGCTGCTCAAGAGAGCGTGTTCGCCTCGTTCGAATTACATAATTGCCAGTCCTGAGAAGTCATCGCCGCGAAAATACATGCCGGTTAACGAATGGGGGCACGGGAGGAGAGTAAACGAGAAATCACAACGTGCGTTTGTCGCTCCCCCGTGCCCCCGAATACACCGTAATCACAACACCCCCTTCGGCGTTACCCTCCCCCCGCCCCGTGCGCGCGCCTCGTGTCATGCTGCCGTCAATCGGACAAAGGAGAGCGTTGAAGTGAGGTTAGGTACACGCGCCTCCGACGCCCGTCGCCGTCGTGCGGCCGCGACGGGCGTGCGGGCGGCGGCGTCGCGGATGGACAGATTGAGCGCACTTACTCAGCGGCTTGTCCCGTCCGATTCTTTCGATCCAGCTGGACCACGGCTGGCCGTGAAAGAATGTTGGGCTGTCACTTCCCGACATTGCCAATGGCGCTCGCGTTCTGAGTGAAACACGGCGCTGGTCCTCTCCGCGTGTATATAGCGTGGCGAGAGTGTTTTTCGGGGGGGCCGGGCCGCGTGGACTGTCAGGTGCGGCGCGACGATACACTCCACGCTATATCTACTACTCCGTCCCTCTCGCTCCCCCTCGTCTCTCACGTTCTCCGTCGCTCTTTCCGCGTGTGCGTGTCGCACCAGACGCATTTGCCTCCTTCTCCTTGTGCTCTTGTTCACGACTCCCTCTCTCCCGCCGACTAATCACCGAGTCCACCGAGTATATATATTAGCACGTGCAACGAGATGCGGTCTCGAACGTAAATTTCGGAGACGAGCGTATAACGCGCGACGCGTCGTCGCGCGTTCGGGATGCTGCGCTCTGCCGTCGTAGGCTGCGTTTCCGCGTGGCTCCGCTGCCACCGAGTAACACACACACTTCCGTGAACCTCACGCGCGCACGACGAACACTGCGATCGGGATGGCGGCATTGGCCAACCAGGGCTTGACGTCACGAGCCGCCGTGAGCGCGATCAACGTGCGCAGAGCGTCCAGCCAATTGCAGCGGTGCAACTCACATACGGCGCTGCGCACGGCTCATTAGCGTGCCGACCGTCTTGCACGGCAGGTGGATCGTATCGTGCGCTCGCGGCGCTGCTCCGGTGTCATTCACATGCATGATTCCATTGATAAATTTGTGTTGAATGTAAACTATGCGATAACATCGCCCCATCTCAACAAATTCATTGTTTCGACAAAATTAACCATCTATGTCCTATGTCATAGTATATTTCTGCAATAATATATTCCATTATTAAATAATATATATTTTTAGAATATATTGAGAAGAAAATATTAAATATTAATTCTAATTTTTCCGCTCTAAGAAAAACTATTATAATAGCTTTTAAAAATTTTGTATCTGCAATGACGTCATTGAGTCGCTAAACAAACTTTAATACTCGCTTTGATAATACTATTTGGAATTTGTATAATCATGTTAATTTACGTACATTTTATATCTTCTATCTTATCTTCTATTTTATCTTCTAATTCTATAGGAAAGAGATTATTGTTTTCAGAACAAAGTAATATATTCTGTTACAGCAATAGCGCTTTTTATTTGACTTTAAAAGATTAATAAATAAAAAATGTTTAAGCTTGGACATAACAAAATACAACAATATAAAACTATATTAAAATACATTATTATACATAATTATATACGATAGAAAAAATGTAATCTCTCAAAAGAAGTACTTATAATTGTTTTTAAAAATATTAGAATTTATTACATATTCTCAAAATTTTCTATTTTTTTTCATACAAAAATTAAACGATTTTATATTCAGCGAACTCGCACAATGCTTCGATCACGTTTAACTCTCTCTTCTATTATCGAGAAACCGGATCGATATGATAATTTGTGTGACGACTTTCAAAATGTGACTTCGCATATTTCTCCAGACTTTGACTAGGAATAACCGCTGTCGTCAGCGGCCATAAATATCGACGATCGCGTCCTTATTCTACGGCTAAAAACAAATGCTTAAATTTACAGTCTTGTCGGTGTCCGAATTTAGAAATTATCCGCTTTCTTAACCCGCGAAGAACGATCGCGAATTCGGCTGCGTCTCAGCCGGCTGGGCGGTATTGTTCACGTCACCGCGATGGGCCTGGATCGCCTGCCAGTTGATAAACCAGAAAGGCTGCTTGTCTCTCGGCCAAGTCATGATCCTGTTCACCAAATCGATGTCACCGTGAGCGTCGATCGGCAGATCGAACGGGATTCTCTGAGTGGTCGGGCTAAAAGCCGGTGCAGCCGCTGCATTTGCGTCTCCGGCGCCGATTCGATTTCCAAGCAACGATTCGTCAACTACGCCATTCGCTCCAGCTGCTGGAGTTCCTTGATTCGTTTGGACTCCTTGGCCGATTTGTCCTGCTTGGCCGAATTGGCCTGGTTGATTTGTTACGCCGACTTGGCCAGGTTGATTTGCTAAGCCAACTTGACCTGCTTGGTCGAATTGGCCTGTTTGACCTGGTTGACCGAATTGGCCTGTTTGACCTGGCTGGCCGAATTGGCCTGTTTGACCTGGTTGGCCGAATTGGCCTGTTTGATCTGGTTGGCCTGGTTGGCCTGCAAGATTTGCTTGGCCTGTTTGGGCTGCTTGCGCTGCTTGTTCCGCCGCTATTCTTTCATCTATATATTGTGGTAGAACCTGAGGCAGACGGTTGTTGTTAGTGCCGGCGTGCCATGGTCGTTGCGACTGCACCAAGCAAAACACAGTAGTGAAGAGTACGGCGTATTTTAGCTGTAATAAAAAAAATTCGAATTTAGCAGAATGAAAGATAGTATAATGTTAAAAAATTATAAGGCTTTTGCATTTCTGTGCACCACCATTAAATTTAAATTAAATTATTTGGAAAGAGAAACACTTCTCACAAAATTAATATAAATCAATCAACTAAACGTTTAATTGAAATAAGTATGTATTGTTGAATGATTAAAAAAAAATTGATTGTCAGAAACAACAAGTTTTCACGTTTATAAGGCTATCGTATTAACATTATTTAAAATGGATATATTTTATGAATGTTAAGTGCAATTGTTCTCTTGATAAAAGTGGAAAATATTATTAAAGTTATTTATTTACCATGATTGTCAAGTGTCTCGAGTTGTCTAACGACCTTGATAAACACACAATAATTTCAATGTATCCAACGGGATCGTGGGAATTAACGATCGTACGATTTCACCGTTCGAACTTGAAGTGCTGGTGTGGCAAGCATTTCTTCTCGTATATAAATCGCACGGCTATACGTGATCCCCACTACGTGGTCCACGAGTCATGCGTCTGTGGGAAACTTGGCTGCAACTTCCCCCGATCGGGCTCGTCGATATCTCGCGCAAAACGTAAAAGTCGTATTCCCGAAGCGACGTATACAAACCGCCAGCGAGTAAGAAAGCGTTTCCGAGAAAGCACTCGTCTGGGACGAGTCAAAGTTTTTTTTTTCTTTTTTTCGTCAGAATGATGAACTTGCGATTTATCACGGCGATATAAAGTTGTGTCGTCAGCCACCCTTTCCGATCCTGATTCATTCACGCGCATAAATTCTGCAACTGGTGAATCTGTTGAGTTTCACAAGACTCGAGTCTTGGATAAGACTTTTTTTGCCGAATGCTATCCTAGGAAGAAATAGAAGAGAATGTGGAATGCGGAATAATTGATTTCAAAAAATAATATTACTTATTTAGATTGTGATTACTTATTTAGATAGAATAAATTTGTGAGATATAAACAAGCTCGTGTTGAAGTAGTTTTCGGCTCGTCGTCGAAAATGGCAAAGATTCGTGAAGAAAGTGCACGTGCGTGGCATTCAAAAGTTGGGCGATGACTTCATTTCGATTCATCGTACTCTCGATCCCGATGGCTTTCCAAGTATTAACTCTATTAATAAAGGCTGGTGCTAACAAACACAGCTTGTGGTCAAGTTATTAGCAATTAAATTTGCAGTCGTCCCGCCTCGCGATTATACTGTTATGAGATCCATAAAAACGCATAATGAATTGCTCGTTGAAAAGACAAACAAGAAATGTTGCAATGGCATTTCTCGCGTTCATCATTTTTTTTTTTTTAATCAAGGAAACTTGATCTTTCCGTACGGATGCTATTCTTCGCAGTCATCACATTGTTGTGTATTTCCTAATTCTGCATTAATCGTGTGACGACCAATAAGCGAAGGCATTTCTTGGACACTCGTCCGAAAGATTGTACGGTAGCTGTGTCGATTTTTCGAAATAGGCGAACTGTGAAACTGCAAGTTCAGCGTCACCGATGAATTTCACACTTTTCCAGCTTCGCCAGCACATTACGTCTGCGCCCATATTTATCGTGACATTTCATTGTAGTTTTAACGAGGTATTGCATAGCTGTGAAGCGTTTAATTAACACGATAAATCTGCGCTCTCTCGTCTTCGCTCCGCGGACATCGTTCGAGGAGAGAGAGAGAGAGAAAAGAGAGAGAGAGAGAGAGAGAGAGAGAAGAGAGAGAGAGAGAAGAGAGAGAGAAGAGAGAGAGAGAGAGAGAGAGAGAGAAAGAGAGAGAGAGAGAGAAATACAAGTTATTTATTCCAACTCGAAATAGCGATACTCACAATCAGTGAAACGGGGTTTCATTTGACGAGAAACATCAATTAAAAAGCGTTATCTTAAATGAGACCATGACCTCATAGAGATCATTGGAAATCATCGACTTTTCTATGTTTCTGCATTTTCCTCGCTGTATTTCGCCGATATCTCGTCAATGTTCGAAAGATAAGCGAGCTTGTGAGTAGCAAGAGTGGATTGCAATAGTTGATTGAGTATATTTCTTCACGCACGATAGTTCACGGCAACGTAATCTTTATATGAGAAAAAGGCCTGGATGATAAAAATTATCTCACTCTTTGTGACGCATCCGTTAAATTTCCACGCGTCAGTGTTGAAAAATTTTGATAATCTCGAGAATTACTTTCTCCAAGTGTTCACTATTTACTTGAAAATCATACACGGAGTGTTGAGCAGGAATACACTTCTATAAATATTACATTATTTTCATGCGAAATATTTTTCTACGTAAGAAACAACTTTGCTGTTAACCGCAACTAATTCCACTCATGATATTTTTTATCGAGTAACGTGAGGCGTTATATAACAGCACGGATAATTAACGACGCAAGATGCAACAGAAAATTAGTACATTCTTCCTCCCACAGTTTTCTCAGAATGCGTTCTTTTTTTTTCCCGCTCTGTTCTGATTTTTATCTCTATTTCTCCGGTAAAACCTCTATGCCGAGCTATGTTTTTTATCGACTCTGGAGAAATCCGAGAAGATCCTGTTTCTTTCAATCCTGTAATGGTGGGGAAACGATGTGCTCTTATTGTCGAGGAAAGGGGCTCATCGTTTATGCTAAATGATCGGTTCGGTCGGAATTCTGGTTTTGCTCTTGGCGTATCGACGGGAATACCAGGAGATCAGCAAACTTCAAGCATGTATAGAAGCTGTCTTGATAAAAATTTAAATAGCACAGATACGAAGAACTTGATTTTAATAATATATTAAGTCGGAGAATCATATATTTTTAATTTATTTTTTAATTTATAACTATCTTAATTTGATTTAGAAATGATAACTGCTCTAAATATGCTGGATATTTAATTTAAAATTTTTATGTTCAAGAACGCGCGCGCGCGCGCGCGCGCGGGTTTCAAGTTAAATATCCTGTGACGAGAATATTTATTTGATTTGATTATAATGTAACATTGACATTATAATTAAATTTAAAAGAATATATATGCTTAGTCACGTCTTGAATTATTCTAAATGTTTCTACATTGCAAAGTTCCTTTCAAAGTAATTAGACGTGAATTACGATTTTCGTGTTTGCGCATCTAATCGCGCTTTTACGATTTTCTATTCTCTTGTAAATTTGCTCTTCTCTTCTCCTCTCTTGTATTTTGCTGCAGCAAAATATTTACGTCTTCCTCTTTCGCTTCGCGATGATGGGATCAGATTGCGCACGGCCAAATGGGGATTAAAGATCTGCTGCTACGGGCTTATGAAAAACTGGGATTTTCCCAACCCGCTTTGAACTATCAGGCGTGATAAATTTCTCTGAGAATAACCGTAATTTCCGTTAATATGATAAAGCGGAATCTCGCTTGCATCACAGCTTTCATTGACGTTTGCTGTCCGAAGTCACAAAATGTGCAAAAAAAGGTAATAAAACTGCCTGAACATGATTTAGGATATTGGTGATTTTTCTGAAAACATCGTTTCTTTTGAAAAATATAAGTTGCGAAAGAATATCTCAAAAATGAATTGGACTACAATGTATGAAAATCTCTAAGAACTGTACGTAATTTTATTTTCGTCATTTAATTAGTCACAAAACAATTATTTTTATTAACGTATTAGATATCATAAAAATTTTTAAATGTAATTATTATGCATCAATATTAAAATTTGTAACTGCAAGAGCACTGAAACTTATTAATAAGATTGATAATAATAAAAATATTAATATAATTATAAAAAAAATTTGTTTAAAATAATTTTACATAAGAAAGAATTATTGCCGCAAAATATTTTTATTTATATTAATTGTTAAATAAATTATTTTGTAATTTATTCTGTTTGAAATAATTATTTTTAAACAGAGATGCACAAACAACTGTTAAAAAAAAAAAAAAATATTTTATATCAAGCAAAAATAACAAATAATATAAATATCAATTTGTTTTTAAATACTAATTTATCAAGTTTATTCGAGTTACATAAAGCCTCTACAGAGGATGTGAATAATGTTAGAAGAATGACGGAAATTATGTTTCCGTAATTAATAAGATATGCATAATATTCGAGTGTAAAAATTCATTCTTCTCGCATTTATTTGTTATTAATACATTCATTGTATTATTATACCGCTTAAAAATGAATCAACCTCGACACACCTGAGCAACTTGCTACGAGCGTTTGTAAGCGTAGTAAACAGCACAACATAAAGTTCAAAATCGCCAACGTCATTGAAATAATTGCGCGTCAGATGCTGAATTGTCCGCCTACTCAAGCGAAAAACGATGATCTTTGACATACAGATCAGTGTGACACAAACAACAACGTATTGCCGCGTTTACTGTAACAGCCAGAAATTTCAATGATGTTAGAATGTTAACTATAAATAATCCAAATGTTGTTATCGCGATACACGATAAAATTTAAATCATGCAAATATTTGATTATGAATAAATGTTAATATGTGCTGTCCGCTGATGATGTATGTACAGTTTCCTCTCCAAACAAAAATTACGGCGCAGAATCATCGATAAGTAAATGTGTTGGAAACCAGTTTGAACGTTATATCTTTAATGTATGTTAATTCGCCGTGGAATAACATATTCATCCAAGCCAAGATTTCTGCAAGTCAAGATTTATTGCGTGTGTGTTTGATAATACATAAAAATCTTGACTATAAACAACTGAATTATAAGATATTGTTCTCTTTCAATTCGATGTTTATCAAAAAAGAAATTTGTTTTATAATTATCATAATTATATTATGTAGATGCAACGATATTCAAAGATTTTTGATATGCAAAATTTAACCCCCATATAAAATATATGTTATCTCAAAAATGTGTTCTATTCTGATGGAATAGATAAGATAAAATACGCTACATCCTTGAGTCAAAGAAGATACAAGATAGATAAGCGCATAATAAATGAAAATGTTCGATTTCCTGATGCCAGAATGATATGATAAAACCAGCCGCGACTGGTATTCATTACGCAAGAATCATTATTTTACATTCGTTTATCAAGTTTTGTACGTTAATTACGAAATGAGACGTTTTACACGCAATATTATAAAATAGTTTATAGTTAAAAGAAAAAAATCGCAATAATTCTGAATTTTTACCTCATTTTCATAATAGTCTACATTTTAATAATTAATTTTTGTAATATTGCATTATTTACGTGGAAAAGGATACTTTTATATTTACACTTTTATATTAATTTAATTAAATACGTAATTACTTTACAAAATGTATCACGATATTATTTATTTAGATCATAATTATTTTTATTAAAACATTTATCTAGTTAAAAGTCAGAATCTTTAGCATTTGTCTGTATGCATACGAAGAAAAATCGGAAAGTAAAGAGATTTTTTAATTAAAAAGTTTTATAAAATATTTTAAGAAGTAATATCAAAGTTTAATTCCTTAAATATTCTTTTTTTATTTATTTTCGTAATTAATACCAAGAAATAATATAAGATCAACTGAGAAAAATATATAGACCCTTGTTTTAAAGTCATACCAGAAGATGTCTATACTCATTCTATCCCGCACATCACTGTACAACGGGCTGCCATAACTAGGAGCATCGAGAAAGTATCTTTGCCATCAGTCTGCAATGTTAATTTTATTGCACGGAAAAATTGTAATTAAAAAAAATTATTTTTGATATATTTAGAAACACATCTGCGTAAATTCGTTCTATTAATTTTTTCTTAATATGTTTGACATTTCTATACAATAATAATTGAAAATGTATAAAGACGTATAAAAAAAACTGCAGATGAAATAAAATTTATGAATCTATTGCCGGTCTTCAAACTTTAAAGACGTCACGTCCGAACAAACATTTTATCTAATTTATTTTGTGGCAAGCGAGATCATTATGTCTCGTCTACGTGTTAATGGCAAAATCACGCCACTTGTTACACGAGATAAACGCCACTGCCGATCGCACGATTTTTTTTTCACGGGTTACATTTTCTTCGAAATTGAAGGATAATGCAAAATTCTCTGCCGATTTTACGATACACGCAACTGACACTCGCACGATGCCCCAGAGCTATTTGCAGACAGGATTGTTATATCATCGCCACGATGTTTCCCTTTGCGCACCGTCGTGTCAGGCGCACTTCGCCGCTTATGAAATCATTACAATGACCTTGGGTCAATAAACACACTCCGTATTGCCCGGTCAGGTATTTTACGCTTCAATTATGACACGTCGTTGCGTCCAGCTTTACGATGTTACGAGACACGCGTAATCCACTTTAGCTCTGCCAGGGTTCGTGATCCCGATTTTAATATCTCGTTCACGCTAATAATAAGTAAACCCACAAATACCTCAAAGGATCGTATTTTTTCATCAATATTATTATGAACGACGTAAAAATACATTTTTCACGTATCTCTTTCTGCGTCCTTATTTTATCTTTAATACAAAATTTGGTATATTTTTACGATACGTGCTGGCTGACAGTTAGTGCGCAAAATCAATGTCCAAGCTTTAGTTGCAATCAAGTATCGAGTGAGCAAATCTATCAGAAACGGTGAATTTTACCGTAGTGTCGTTTCTTCTAGATCAGTTAGGCCCACTCTTGATTACGTGATTAAGACTCATCATCGCTTATTGTCAGTGTCACCGATCGTCCGCGAAGGGCAAATTAAAATTTAACGCGAGGAAATCTTAACACGCGATCTTTGAACTCTACGCGATCTTATATACTTGAATATTTTGATATCACAAAGATCTATACGAGATTTTATTGTTTTAACCGAATGCTTTAACTATTTCATTATTATTAGATTTGTGCAAAATATTTGTTGCTTTTCTGTGGAAGAAAGTCTATTTTAAATAAAGCTATTGCTTTCTAAGAGCTCAGAATTTTCAAATTAGGCGTACAAAAGTTTGTTTTTAGATAGAAAAAAATGTATTGAAATCAACGTTGAGTATTTTAATTAATAAAAATGAGTTCAGAACTCTGTAATTCAGCCTTCAATTTTGATAAATATAGCAAATCTAACCGAATATTTATTTCGTATTTGAACCATCGGTAAATTTTATATATGATTGATTTTTTGAGAATATTATTCTCACAAACCGGTGCTTTAATTTTCTCGTGCAGATCGGGTTCGGCAAATTGGAGCTCGCTAATCGTAAGAAGAGGTCAGTAGTGCAGTTTAGCCACTCGTATAAGAGCAGCTCGTAGATCAGTAACTCCATTAAAGTAGATCAACGTTGCACGGTGTCACCATGAACGTGGTAGTGATACCGTTCTTCCTAGGTGAGAATTCCGAATTATCGTCACGCCGCGTTTACTCGACCCGACGTGAATCGACTCGCCGCTTCCGGTAACCGTGCGATCGATTTTCGTTTAGCCGCAGGACGTGCATGTCCTTCGTAAGTATCGCTGGATCGGCACGCATTGTGATATCAGCGTGACGCGCGAATCGAATAATGATCGAACCCGATGATCGCCCACCGGAAATGCGAGAAAGTCACACGCGATGGCTTAATTTGACTGACAAGCGAGAGATAATCGGGATAAACCTGTGTCCGCGTCGCTCCAGGACTCTAATCGGCCCATTCAGGCCTAATCGCGCCCGGCCCATTCAGACGTTCTCTCTCTCTCTCTCTCTCTCTCGCCGAAACGGCGTAACAGCGGCACCGCGTACTACACAATGACGTAATGTCCTTCTTTTTCCCTTAGCCGCGCATCTCACCGTGGACGAGCCGTGGGAACATGGGCCGGAGTACAGGTTTCAGGTGCTGGTGAACTCGACGGCGATCCCGGAGGAGGGCATCTACGGCAGCATGCGGCTGAATCTGGAGTCGAAGCTGATCTGCCAGCCGAAGGGCGGGACGACGCTGAGCTGCCACTTCGAAAACTCGACGGCGATCAGCTTCGTGACGGACAGCCTGGACCCGATGGAGGCGGCGGCGCCGAGCGGTCGCGTGAACCGGCAGTTCGCCTATGAGATCAACGAGGACCAGTTCGAGATCAAGTTCAACGAGCGCGGCCTGGACGGTCTGATGGTGAACGAGAACATACAGCCGCGCGAGCTGGACATGATACGAATGATCGTCGGCCAGCTGAGCATAGGCGCGTCGTTCGACGGCCCCTTCGGCAACGACATGGCCTTCGAGGTGATGGAGAATTTCACGCAGGGCGAGTGCTTCACGACCTTCAAGATCGACAAGAAGCTGACGGTGCGCTCGTTGTACGCGAGGCGCAACACCTACGCGCTCAGGCCGGCGTTCGGGCTGAAGGATGGCAGGCTCGCACAGATCCGGAAGACGCGGAACTTACATATGTGCGCGCACAAAGTGCCGTACTTCTTCGGCAGCGCCGAGAGCTTCAGGGAGGAGAGCGATATCATATCAGATGTTGTAAGTACGCCGTCCGTGCGGGTGTGTCGCGCCTCATCCCTGCGTTAAACTCATAAAGTAGACATCTTTCGCTTTACGCTTGAATTAATGTGCAATAATTAATTCTGACGGATAATCGACACGAGTTTAGTGCAAATTAACAATCCTCTAATACCAAACAAACAAATGTAAATTAGAATTGTCGGTATCAGTGAATTGAATTAAATTGAATTCAATTTAAATACAATTTCTATTTAATTAAATTATAACAATTGATAAAAGCGCTACGCGCTTAATGATTTTTGCGAAGTAGACTGTGCACTTTCCTTTTCTGTTGCAGAACCTCATGGAGAGTGAAATCATCATATCATCGACCGACTTCGTATCCCGCATGTCGAATATTATAATAACTAGCAAAGTGACCGAGGCGGTGACGACGAGCCTTCATGAAAACGTGTGGCTCAGACTCGAGTCGATCAAGCGTGCCGAGAGCGAGCCGCCGATTGTGCAGGAAGCCGAACCCGCCAGTATCTTCATAGGTAGATGGTTATTCGATGACTCGCTCGAGGAAGATAATTAGCCTTATCACGAACGGTCGTCTTATCGCGTATCAGCAATATCGACTCTCGTATTGCGCACGAAGAAGTTTGATGAAGCACGAAATTGAGAAATGCTTCGTTGCAAAGTGACTTAGCAATTTCATTTCATTTTTATTTACTGCGTAAATTTAGAGGGAAAGTTGCAACGATGCATTTTTATATTTAATTAATTTCAAGGATTATCCTACACGCGTGAATGCGGTCTCTGGGATAATTATAAATTATATTATTAACTGTTATTATTGATTAATAAGAGGGAAATTGTTACAAAGTGCTGATATTTTAATATGTGACAGCACAGTGATAACACAATTTTATCTCTTGTACAATATTCAGAGAGTGGTTGATTTTATGAGAAATAAAAAGTTATACAATACAATTATATTGTTTTTGTTTATATAAGTTTGAAAAAAGTTAGCTTCTGATTAACAGATGATTGATAATTTAGCAAATAATAGCAAAGATAATACAGCAAAGAATTATATCATTATTTTAACAAACATTTCTTTGATAAATAATTCTCCAATAAAATAAATAATTTTTTTATTTATTTTGTTTATTCAGTTTATTTTTTCTATTTTGTGCAGATTTAATTATTACTTATTATGCATAGACAAGAGATGTTACATAGCATCTTTCAAAGTTTTATTTTTCATAGTTCTTTAATCACAACGTTCTTTTATAATTAAACCTTTTATATTAATTAATATTAATTATTAATTTTTCACATAATTATATTAAAAGCAAAATAGCAGATTACTTTATTTGATAATATTGTCTTGACTGTGCCTTGAAATTGATCTAAATCTTTGTCTTATTTCTAGAGTAGTCTTTAAGTCGTTACTAAACAATAAATATTTATTAATCTTATATAAATGTACAATTAACATGTAGAGCAAAAGCGTTCCATATTGCATTTTGCAGCTAAATTACGTTGATAAAAAATATTGCAGGTTGCGAGTTAAAATTAATTAATTTCGTTCATTGTTTCTAATTTTGGATCTTAACAAAAGACAGATAATCAATTAAATTATTTATTCTAATTACAATATAATGTACAAAATAAACAAAAAGATCTATTAAGTCCTAAGAGAGACCTGAGAATTAGGCCTATTAAGATTTCAATACTGTATAAATTTTCAAGAGCAGTAATAATTTTTATAGCATTCATATTTATCTATTAAAATCTGATATATGCTGCATACAAACTATGCTATAAAGCTAAGAATTTCATCTTCCTTTTTCATTTTAGCTGTAACATATTCTTTAACATAATTTTTAAGAAAATATATTACCATATGACACCATAATACTTACTGTTAAGAGAAAAATATATATATATATACTTTATAAATTACAACATACATTCAAACAGCCTATCATTATTCCCTGAGTTGTGCCAATCTGTGTGTTAGTTCGTCCTGTTCCTGAGTTGCTGCTACCGAAACGCCAATAGAGCCTAATTGACTAGGTGGCAGTTCCATATTCAGTTCCAGCCTAAAAATAGACAAAGTCAGTTTAGATTTAGTCATCTGGAATTTTTGAGACATTTAAACTTAAAATAAATAAAAGTAAAAATATTGTTTACACAAAAACGAAGATATCACAACTTTTTGCATAAGAAGTAAAATTGTTAGAAAAAATTTTAAATGTCAAATAATAACAGATAAATATTCTCACCCAGCTTCATCTGCGACTTGGTGCATCAAAGTATCCACTTCGTTCTGAGGTGCGTTAATTGTTGTGGTTTGTGACATAGCATTTTCCATGTATGAGCTTTGCACATCCAGATCCTCAAATTGGTTTTCAAACTTATCCATGAGTGAAGAGATCTTTTCCAGGTTCATCGACTTCATAGCTGCGTCCATGGCTTTAACAACACCAGACATAGACTGAGTGACTTTGCGAGTTGTCATTGCAGTTTGCACTCTGCTGGCCACTGCATCTACTCTTGCACTCATTCTGAGATAATTCAAGGCTTGGTTCTTCTGTCGAATTGCATTCTCAGCATGGATGCGAGCACCTTCCATGTTACCTTTTTGTATCGCCTTCTTGATCTTTGCTTTCTCTATTTTTTCTTCTTTTTCGCATTTCTTTGAATTTCTTTCTAACTCCTTTACTGCAAACTTTAAATTGAATAAGTTTTCTACATATCATCATTAAGGAAAACTCTATTTGCATCATACAAATTTGAATGTTTTGCTGAAAATTTATGAAAAATTAAAATGCAATTCCTGCAAATGTCAAAAGATAAATTTACAAGTGATTTAATTTCATAAAATTAAAAAAGATGTGACCATCTCTGTGATGTGACCGAAGCATCTCGAAGATGCTTTGACAGAACTTGCTCTGAAGATAATTTCATAATAAGGGAACAACTTTAAAAAGAATATTTCAATGTTTCATTAGGCATTTCAATGTTTCATTAGGCATTTCAAAGGATACTTTCCATCTGAGAGACGGACATGGCTGACTGTTCGGCCCCCGTGGTTGTGATGAAAATCTAACCTAACCACAAAAGCAAAACTACTATCTTGCTTGAACGTTGGGCTGATTATCGATGAGGAATGATGTGAAAAATCAGCCAAGGACCTAGCCACTTTAATAAGATTACCAATTCTCATTAACAGCATAGAACTCCGTATTATATATCACTATATTTTTCTTAACTTCAGTAATTTGTCATCGCGTGCTGTTCGTCACACTAATTTTACAAAAGCGGGAAAAACTATCTGTCCCTTGACTTGAGACAATTGACAATTTTATGTCAGATAATATTACTCATGATTTATGACATCACCAAAGAAGATATATGTAACAAATATACACATTCACATTTGTAGATGGAAACATGCGACACCTTTCGAAGAATAGCGACAAACTCAGTTGTAGTTCATTTAAATTTCTGCTGAACAAGGTTTGAGTCTCGACTAGAATGGTTGTGTATCAGATGGTTTATAAAATGACGCGTCGCATTTATTTCCGCGACTGGAATTTTATTATAAATATTTATTTTATGTTTATAAAGTATATTTTAGGTCTATAATTTTGCATTTGTTCCTGAATTTAATTTTTCCTAATCTATGTAATATAAAATTTTACAATTATTATAACTGTCTAAATATATAAAATTTTTCGTAATTTTAAGATTTATATTAATTTTTCCTCTGTAAGGCAATAGTACATTTTGTTGTAAAATACCACGAAAACTTGATTATCTACAAATTCGATTTCCGTCAGTCATATTTAATTATTGTCCTTTATAAAAAATGAGTGTTGAGCTTATCAGTATGATAATTTAAATTAATTGCGAATTTTTGCTTTACTTTTATTTTTTACTAATTAGATGTCTTTTAGAAACATGAAAAAATGCTCTACAAACATGCGTGCAAACAGCTCTCAATCCATAATAGAATTTAAAATCGATGAAATCGATGAACTACCATTGAATTTGCTAGGTCGCTTTATCATAACTCAAAAAACCGACTGTTTTTAGTAAATTAATCACGTACTTTTGCTTCACTTTTATAATTCTTCATTAGATATCTTCTAGAAATGTAAAAAAGTATGTACAAATAGCCTGCGATTCATAACAGCATTTAAAATCGATGAAATCAATCAACTACAACAAAATTTGTTATATTAATTTATCGGTTTTTTATGTTTAATTAAGGATCAACTTCTGCTTTAATTTTATAATCTTCTAATTAGATATCTTCTGAAAACAATATAAAGCATAATTGAAATGCTTTCATTTTTTTGCAAGATGTAAAATCAATTATGTCAATCAACTGCGGCAAAATTGACATCATAAATTTATTACCACTCCAAATGTCGCCTTCTTGCATTTAAGTAACGTATTCTTCTATAGAAGACAATCGTATACTTGATTTTCATATTTCTTTAAACATGTACGAAAAAAAGAACAAATACATTTATACATCTACTTTAAAAAATTCTAAAAAATCTACTAAAAATCTACTAAAAATTCAAAAAAATCTTTAAAAAATTACAAAAAGCTAATCAAACATAAATTAATTAATTTTAAGTTTGTCAAGTTGCGGAGTTCCGATAAAACAATCCTACACTTTTTTTGTACATTCCCATATCACTTTCTATTAATCATAAATTAATAATAAGAAAACTAATAATACTTATAGTTTTCAACTGCTCCAAATAATATGTGCTTTATTCTTTTAATTAAATTAATTATATTTTGCTTATTGCGTGCAAGAAATATCATAGTAATAAAAGCAGATACGACATTTGCGAGCGACAAATTTATCAATTATGTCTAAACCTTGCTGGCACTTATGAAACGTGCTATTATCAAAGCAGTCTTAAGTATAAAGGCAATGCTATCGTAATCAATACAGAAGATATCTACAAAATCTAGGCGGAAATGGTACTTAGTGAAATTATTTTCAAGGAGACGTCTTGTGAATCAAATTATCTTTCGTATAAAAGGAAGCCAAAACTGCAGGCAGAAGTCAGTTAAAGATCAGACATGTTGGTGACGATTCTGCCATTTTTCTTAGGTACGTTTGAGCTCTCGTCGTTAAATAACTAATCCATTTAAAACAAGACTGCGTTGTAAGGAAAAGTCCTAACTGTTAATTTCTTCTGTCATTTTTTAAGAATTTTGTATATTTAATTCGCATTTAATGATTAAATCTGCGGATAATAATGTTCGCAACGATTTTCATCCCTGATCGCATTGATCTCACATCAATCGTGATTTTATACTTCCGCCAGTTATCTCTTCTTATTCCACAGCGGCAAACATTGTCGTCGATGATCCCCATCGGGAATCCGAATGGGCGATGTACGGTCCGGAATGCACTTACGACGTCCTCGTAAACATGTCTCTGGCCAACATCGTCCAGGAGAACGATAACTTTTGCGCCATGATCGCCACCGAGCTCAAATGCCGACTCAAAGGATACGACATTCTCAACTGTCGCTTCCAGAATGCCCGGATTAAACGGCCGGATCTGCAGAACGACAGATGCTCGAACGCGCGGGACTTTGTGCCAACGAGATACAAATTTGTGGACGAGGAGCCCTTCGAGATTCGATTCAATTCAAGAGGGATCGAGAACCTGGTGGTGCACAGAACAATCCCCCGATGGAGGCTCGACATGATCAAGGTCATAGTCAGCCAGCTGAACGTCGGCTTCGAGGCGCAGGAGCGTCGCGACAGATTCACCATCATGGAGAATTCCACGGTCGGCCACTGCGAGGTGGACGTGAAGATCACCCGCGGCGGCCCGGATTCTTCCGAGGAGGACGACGATTCCGTCGAAGGCGAGAACTTCGAGATCGGATTAATATCGGTCGACAAAGTCGCGCGACCTTCCGCGCTCGAGAGAATCCATGTCGAAAAGGCACGCCAGCCGAAGAGATGTCCGCGAAGAACGATATACTTCTTCGGGAATCATGAGGATTACAGTCACGGCAATAACGAGCTTTACATGGACATGGTACGATTATTTTTAAGGAATTACAGGGTGATTGTAATTAATAGCAACAATTTTGTTTAGCGCTGTTCAAACGTTCAAACGCGTTAATGCCAAGTATAGCATGACTTTTACAAATGCGCAACAAACTTGTCCAAACAAATTTTCGCGAATATATTTGTGAGTGCGAAAATGTCGTTTAACGAATTTAGAGTTCGACTAAAATTTGTTTTGTTCCTCTCATTTTAGACAACTTCCGTGAGCCACCTCACGATCGCAAGAGATAAATTTGTATCTTACACGATATCGGAGGGCGTAATGAAGACGGCGAACAAATCGCGGATTATGCGACCTCATCAGAACATAAAACTGAAATTGAAGCGAATAGATCTCGCACGATCCTCAGCGCCTGAGATTCAAGATCCAGCCTCGACGAGTCTATTTGCGTTTTCCAATCTGGAGGCTATACCGGAAGACGCGTGATCCAAGCGATTCATGCTATCGGAGAAAATCGAAAAGATCGTATCGCGTCGAGACATCAGCATATTATTGACAAATGACATTCTCCAAACAAATGACAATAAAATATATTCTATAATACAGCATTATATAATATTATATATTTATTTTTATTTGTAGTGAAACATGTATCATTGGGTTGTGTAATAAATAATTTCGGATTTTTTAAATAGATCTGTCTATTTCGATTTGTCAGGCAAAGCGCAGTTTGATTGACACATTAAATTAAATATTCCATTGTCGAAGTTGTCATTAAGTTTCAAAACATTCACGATTTTTTCACGTTGCGTAAAAACATGCTGCGTGAAAAATACAAAATACTTATTATACAATTCAGTATAACAATCATTAATGTATTACAAAATGTGTATAATTGTAAATAAAATTATATATCCTTCGTAAATATATTTATAGTTTACGAATTATTAAACATAATTATCTATGATTGTCTGAAACGAGAATGGATGGCAACGTATTCCAATTAAAATAACTCTTTGAATATCGTTTACAGTATTTCTAGCTAAGCGCTCTAATTTTATTGTAAGTGATTGTTTCAATTTACAATGCAACAACTTATTTGATTTTACTTAACACTCCTTCATAATGACACTTCAGCAACGTTTAACAAATCTCCGACTAATATTTGTTATTATGCAAAAAATGCAAATATATATTTACCAGACATGTTTATTGTTCCCCAAATATATTTATCAAAATGTCAAAAGCCATGCTATTACATAATTATAATTACAATAAATAATAACAAAAAATACTTACTAAGAAATATAAAATCTGTCAAAAAAGTATATTTTTCCCATTTCTTAAAAATATTTAGAGTATACAAAGTATAATAAACAACATTGCATGAAATAGTAATAGTTTCTTTTTTGTATCCGACGTTTACTTACAACTGAATTATATTTTATTGAAAAAAAAACAGGAAAACTTTTCTCAATTAAATGTAATTATAATAAATGTAGTTATAATAAAGGTAATTATATGCTCTTAACTCAGCGCTTTCATTTCATTGTCAATGATTATTCTTAATACAATACATGCAGTGAATAAAACTAATTTGATTTCTTCTAAGTTTTGAGCCGTCACTTTTACACCGCTTAACAAATTTCGGACAAATCGTAGTCTTGCAAAGTTGTAAATATATATTTGACAGATATGTATATTGTTCCACAAAATCTATTTACCAAAATTTTAAAAACCATGCTATTACGTAACTATAATAGCAATAAATAACAGCAAAAATACTTAGAAAATATAAAATATGTAAAAAAGTATATCTTTCCTATTCCTTAAATATTTTTAGAGTATAATACAATTTTTTTATCGCCAAGTTATTAAATAGCTGTAAAATCAACATAATATCAAACAATACTATAATAAAAATAGTTTTTGTATTTTTTTCTCACGTTATATATAGAAATCAGACACCAAATAAAACCTTATGACTCATAGTAACAGGAAACGCTCTTGATATGATAATTCTAATCATCTTCATATAAAAAGAAGCTTGAAAGAAGAGTAGTGGTAGTTCGTAGTGAGACGCTCCACAAGATGAATTTCACAGAGATATTCTTGGTGATTCCGTTCTTTCTAGGTCGGTATGCCCATTAAGTAATATTTCTAAATATATATGTAAACCATTCAATATAAAAAATAAAAAATACTAATCTTTTTATTTTATTGATAAAAGGCATAATTCTAATGCATTGCATCTCTTATGAAACTTCCTGTTTATTTATGTAGCGACTAAAATTGTCTTCGACGCGGATGAACTTTTGTACTACGTGAATCTTGGACCAGAATATATATTCAATCTGCAAGTGACCACCGAAACATATATGCGGTCAAAACAAGTACAATACAAAGATGTTTTTTCGACGCTAAAGTGTCGCCCAAAGATGTCAGACAGTCTGCTTTGCCACTTACAGTACTTCAAGACTTTTGACGAACAAATAGAGTTTGATGAGTCTGATACCTCATTAAGTACTTCAGCAATATTTGAGATGAAGTTCAATGAGAGCGGTGTAGAGAGAATATTAACTAATTCATCAGATCCCTTTAAAAGGGAATTAATGCAAAAAATCGCCAAACAGTTGAGCACCGGTATCGATGTACAGCGCAATTTTAATGGTAGTTCTATAAACTACTCGATAGACAAAACACCAACTTTGAAATGTCGAACTACGTATAATATCACGTATCTTGAGCCGAAAATAAAAATGGCAAAACGGAATACTAATTTTCAATTCGCGATATTGCCGATGTTCGTCTTAAAACCTGATTCGATTTTTATGATACGGAACTTAGCCGCTAACTGCGAATATAATTGGGTATGGACTCCATGGGACACGACTTCTTCTGCAGTATGTGCAAGTTTTTTTATGTTTGACATTATTTAGCGTATTTTTTAAATATTATTTTTGTAGAAAGAAACAAACTCTTAAACATTAATGTTTTATGTTTAATTTTGTTTTACGGCATTTAATTCGTTACTCACAATTACAACACGTTTACATGGAGTTAATGAATTTATGGAAAAATGCAATATTTTTAAATAATTAGTTTACAATAATTATTACAATAATAAAACAAAAATATTCGTCATTTAGTAACAGTCTTCTAATTTTATTAAAAAAAATAGCTAATTATTTGTTCTAAGAACTATATTTTTGCACTAACATTTTTAACTCAATTCATGTTATATTATTGATATTGCAGGTAAAATACAGTGGCGCCATACAAATCAATGACAAATTTGAAAGTTGGACAGAATTTATCGACTCGAAAATTAAGTTTAACAGACAAGACATTTTGCAGACCATTTATGTTAAGGAAACAATACGACTCAGCCTGGAGAGCGTCAAACCTGCGCAATGTGGCCTTGTGAATATTTTCAATGGCTCTTGGTTTTCTCCACATATAAATTTCATGTATAAAAACATGCCAATTAACATGAATTAAAGTGAAGTAAAGAAATATAAATCAAACACGCGTGTTTCATACGATACTCTTTAGATAAACTATATCTATATAATTATTAGATATCTCATAGATCTAAATGTTGTATTTATAAACAAAGTATAATAAACAACATTTCATGAAGTAGTAAGAGTTTTTTTTTCTATGTGATATTTACTTACAACTAGATTTTATTTTATTGAAAAACAGAAACACTTTTCTTAATTGAAAATAATTAAAAAGCTCTTAACAAAGCGTTTTCATTTCATTGTCATTGATTATTTTTAATACAATGCATGCAGCGAATAGAACCAATTTGATCTCTTCTCAGCCTCGTGCTGTCATCTCTTCGCAGCATTTAATAAATCTCCGACAAATTGTTCTTTTGCAAAGTTGTAAATAATTTGACAGACATGTGTATTTTTTTCCCAAATCTTTTTATCAAAATGTTAAAAGTCATTCTATTACATAACTATAATTGCAATATATAATTGCGATAAATACTTTAAAAATATAAAATATGTTAATAAAGTATACGTTTCCCATTTCTTAAAAATTTTTAGAGTATATTACAAATTTTGTATCGCCTAATAATCAAATACAAAGAACATTTTAAATGTCCATCTTGAAATTATCGCCAATTTATTTCCGAAAACAAAATTACGCATACGTAGCATATTCGTATACATCAATAAGCTGTTGGCTGTACTACTACAGTCACACTATAGATAGATACTCTACACAATCAATTTACAACGTGTGCTAAAATAAATAATTTCTCCAACCGTGAAGTTCGAGCAGTAATTCAGTTCCTGACGGAGAAAACCAATACTGCAACTCTAAAGAAACTTGTTAGACGAATCATTTAGAACAAAAGACGTAGGATGCTGTCCAGCAAAATTGTATTTTTGCACAATAATGCTCAACAGCAAAACGAAAACACACAGCAAATAAAAAACAAACAGAAAACAGTTCAAGAGTTGTAGCAATTTCGCTGGAAAATTTTCAACTACCAGCCCTACAGCCCCGATCTAGCACCAAGTGCTTACCACTTTTCTGCATCTTAAACAATAATTCGCATCGCAGAGGTTTGAAAATGATGAAAAACTGCAAAACGGCGTTAAAGAATGGTTGAAATCACTGGCGAAAGCATTTTTTGAAGACGGAACTAACAATAAGAAGCTAATGAAGCGATATGAAAAATATGTTGAAGTCAATGGCGACTATGTGGAAAAATAACATATATATTCATTTGGCTATAATAAATTTCGTATTTTTTTTTAGTTTTGTTTTTATTTCAAAACGGACCTTATTGAAAAAATGCTGCTCGTAGTTTAAAAATCAGCATAATAACGATGATATTAAAATAGAAATACTTTTCATACTTTTGTCTCATGCTAAATATACAAATCAGATATCAAATAAAACCTTATGACTCATAATAACAGGAAGCGTCCTTGAGATATGACGATTCTAATCATGTTCGTATTGTATAAAGAAGCTTGAAAGAAGAGTAGCGGCAGCGTACAGGCAGTTCGAAGTGAGACGCTTTACAAGATGAATGTCACAGTGATTCCGTTCTTTCTAGGTCGGTATGCCATTAAGTAATATTTCTAAATTTTATATATATGTAAACCATTCAATATAACAAATAAAAAATATTAATTTTTTATTTTAATGATACAAGACAGAATTCAAATGCATTACATCTCTTATCAAACTTCCTGTTTATTTGTGTAGCGGCTAACATCGTCGTCAACGACTGGTTGAAACTTTTGGGCTTTTGCATTTTTGGACCAGAATATACATTCAACCTGCAAGTGAGCACCGAAACATTTATGCATTCAAATCAAGTACAATACAAAGATATTTTTTCGACGGTAATGTGTCGCCCGAAGATGTCAGACAGTCTGCTTTGCTACCTACAGTACTTCAAGACTTTTGACGAACAAAAGGAGTTTGATGAGTCTGATACCTTATTAAGTACTTCAGCAATATTCGAGATGAAGTTCAATGAGAGCGGTGTAGAGAGAATATTAACTAATTCATCAGAACCCTTTAAGAAGGAATTAATGCAAAAAATCGCCAAACAGTTCAGCACCGGTATCGATGTACAGCGCAATTTTAATGGTAGTTCTATAAACTACTTGATGGACAAAACACCAACTTTGAAATGTCGGACTACGTATAATATCACGTATCTTGAGCCGAAAATAGAAATGGCAAAACGGAATACTAATTTTCAATTCGTGATATTGCCGATGTTCATCTTAAAACCTGATTCGATTTTTATGATACGGAACTTAGCCGCTAACTGCGAAAATATTTCGGTATGGACTCTATGGGACACGCCTTCTTCTGTAGTATGTACAAGTTTTTTATGTTTGACATTATTTAGCGTATTTTTTTAATATTATTTTTGTAGAAAGAAACAAACTCTTAACATTAATGTTTTATGTTTAATTTTGTTTTACGGCAATTAATTCGTTACTCACAATTACAACACGTTTACATGAAGTTAATGAATTTATGGAAAAATGCAATATTTTTAAATAATAAGTTTACAATAATTATTACAATAATAAAACAAAAATATTCGTTATTTAGTAACAGTCTTCTAATTTTATTATTAAAAAAAATAGCTAATTATTTGTTCTAAGAACTATATTTCTACATTAATTTTTAACTCAATTCATGTTATATTATTGATATTGCAGGTAAAATACAGTGGCGCCATACAAATCAATGACAAATTCGAAAGTTGGACAGAATTTATCGACTCGAAAATTAAGTTTAACGAACAATGCAATTTGCAGACCATTTATGTTAAGGAAACAATACGACTCACCCTGGAGAGCGTCAAACCTGCGCAACGTGACCTTGTGTATATTTCCAATGGTTCTTGGTTTTCTCCACATATAAATTTCATGTATAAAAACATGCCAATTAACATGAATTAAAGTGAAGTAAAGAAACATAAATCAAACACGCGTGTTTCATACGATACTCATAAGATAAACTATATCTATAAAATTATTAGATATTTCATAGATCTAAATGTTGTATTTATAAACAAAGTATAATAAACAACATTTCATGAAATAGTAAGAGTTTTTGTTTTTATCTGACATTTACTTACCACTAGATTTTATTTTATTAAAAAACAGAAACATTTTTCTTAATTGAAAATAATTAAAAAGCTCTTAAAAAAGCGCTTTCATTTCATTGTCATTGATTATTTTTAATACAATGCATGCAGAACCAATGGAACCAATCTGATCTCTTCCAAGCCTTGTTCCGTCACTTTCCCAGCGCATAACAAATTTCAGACAAGTCATTGTCTTGTAAAATTGTAAACATATATTTGACAGATATGTTTATTGCTCCGCAAAATCTATTTACCAAATTTTTAAAAGCCATGCTATTACGTAACAATAATTGCAGAAAATAACAGCAAAAAAAATAATTTTTAAATAAAAAAATTGTCAGTAAAGTATACTTTCACTATTTGTTAAAAATTTTTAGAGTATATTAAATATTTTTTATTGAATTATCAAATAGTTATAAAATTAACATAATATCAGACGATATTAAAATAAAAACAGTTTTTGTATTTTCTTCTCATGTTATATATAAAAATCAGACACCAAATAAAGCTTTATGACTTATAATAACAGGAAGCACCCTTAATATGATGATTCTAATCATGTTCATATATAAAGAAGCTTGAAAAAAGAGTAGTGGCAGTTTGTAGAGAGAAGCTTTACAAGATGTATGTCACATTGATTCCGTTCTTCCTAGGTCTGTAAGCCATTAAGTACTATTTCTAAATTCATGCATGTGTAAACCATTCAATATAGAAAATAAAAAATATTAATCTTCTTATTTTATTGATAAAAGACAGAATTCTAATGCATTCTATCTGTGACCAAACTTTTTATTTACTTATTTAGCGGCTAACGTAGTGGTCAACGACACGTCAGAATGGACTTTTGGACCAGAATTTTCGTTCAACCTGCAAAACACCTACGAATCATATGAGCGTACAAAGCTAGTCCAATACAGAGAAGTTAACTTGACGGTAAAGTGTCGCCCGAAGATGTCAAACAGTCTGTTTTGTCATCTACAGTACTTCAAGACTTTTGATGAACAAATGGAGTTTGATGAGTCTGATACCTCACTAAGTACTTCAGCAATATTCAAGATAAAGTTCAATAAGATTGGTGTAAAGAGAATATTAACGAATTCATCAGATCCCTTTAAGAGGAAATTAATGCAAAGAATCGCCCAACAGTTGAGCACCGGTATCGATGTGCAGCGCAATTTTAATGGTAGTTCAATAGACTCGATAAACAAAACACCAGCGTTGAAATGTTGGACTACGTATAATATCACGTATCTTGAACCGAAAATAAAAATGACAAAACAGAATACTGATTTTCAATTCGTGATATTGCCGATGTTCGTTTTGAAACCTGATTCAATTTTTGTAATACGGAACTTAGCCGCTAACTGCGAATATAATTGGGCATGGACTCCATGGGACACGACTTCTTCTGTAGTATGTGCAAGTTTTTTTATGTTTGACATTATTTAGCGTATTTTTTAAATATTATTTTTGTAGAAAGAAACAAACTCTTAAACATTAATGTTTTATGTTTAATTTTGTTTTACGGCATTTAATTCGTTACTCACAATTACAACACGTTTACATGGAGTTAATGAATTTATAGAAAATTGCAATATTTTTAAATAATTAGTTTACAATAATTATTACAATAATAAAACAAAAATATTCGTCATTTAGTAACAGTCTTCTAATTTTATTACTAAAAAAATAGCTAATTATTTTGTTTTAAGAACTACATTTTTTCACTAACATTTTCAACTCAATTCGTGTTATATTATTGATATTGCAGAGAGAATACAGTGGTGCCATACAAATCAATAACAAATTCGAAAGTTGGACTGAACTTTTTGATTTGATACTTAAAAGAAACAAACATGGCCTTTTTTCTGATACTTCTGTTAAGGAATCAATACGACTCAGCCTGCAGAACATCAAACCTGCGCAAAGTAAATCTATGTTTATTTCCAATGGCTCTTGGATTTCTCCATATATAGAATTCACATATAAAAGCAAAAGAACTAACGTAAATAAAAGTGAAACATAAATCAAACAGGCGTGTTTTATACGATACTGATAAAATAAATTATATCTATAAAGTTATTAGATATCTCATAAATCTGAATGTTGTATTTATAAACAAAGTATAATAAAAAACATTTCATGAAATAGTTTCTTTCTTATATCCAACGTTTACTTACAACTGGATTTTATTTTATTGAAAAATAAGAACATTTTTCTTAATTGAATGTAATTATAATGCTCTTCACTAAGCGCTTTCATTTTATTGTCAATGATTATTTTTAATACAATGCATGCAGCGAATAAAACTAATTTTATCTCTTCTAATCCTTGCGCCGTCTTCGCAGCGTTTAACAAATACTGGACAAACTGTTGTCTTGCAAAGTTTTGTAAATATATATTTGACAAACATGTTTATTGTACCCAAAATATACTTATCAAAATGTTAAAAACCATGCTATTATATAACTATAATTGCAACTAATAATAGCAATAAAATATTTAAAAAAAAGAATGCCAATAAAGTACAGTTTTCCCATCTCTTAAAAATTTTTTAAATGTAATAAAAATTTTTTATCACCAAATTATCACATAGTTATGAAATTAACATAATATTACACAAGATTAAAATAAAAATACTTTTTGTATTTTTTTCTCATGTTACATATAGAAATCAAACACCAAATAAAATCTTATGACTCATAATAACAGGAAGCGCTCTTGATGTGATGATTCTAAACATGATCGTATTGTATAAGAAAGCTTGAAAGAAGAGTAGCGGCAGCGTACAGGCAGTTCGATGTGAGACGCTTCGCAAGATGTACGTCACATTGATTCCGTTCTTCCTAGGTTGGTAAGCCATTAAGTACTATTTCTAAATTCATATATATGTAAACCATTCAATATAAAAAAGAAAAAATATTAATTTTTTTATTTTATTGATAAAAAACAGAATTGTAATGTATTATATCTTTGATCAAATTTTTGTTTACTTATTTAGCGGCTAACGTAGTCGTCAACGATAGGTCGGAATGGACTTTTGGACCAGAATATTCGTTCAATCTGCAAGTGACCCACGACAGTATGTATGAGAAAGAGCTAACCAAATACAGAAAAGTTTTCTCGACGGTAAAGTGTCGCCCGAAAATGGCAGATAGTTTGTTTTGCGAAATACAGTACTTCAAGACGTTTGACGGACAAAAGGAACTCGTCCTTCGTACTTCAGTAATATTCGAGATGAAGTTCAATGAGCACGGTGTAGAGAGAATATTTACTAATTCGTCAGATCCCTTTAAGAAGGAATTAACGCAAAAGATCGCCCAACAGTTGAGCACTGGTGTCGATGTACAGCGCAAATTTAAGGGTAATTCCATATACTGGGGTGAGGAAGCAGTAAGAAATGGAGACAGGTGTTGGATGGGATGCAGTATCACGTATCTTAAACCGAAAATAAATATGTCAAAACAGAATACAGATTTCCAGTTAGTGATATTGCCGATGTTCGATGTAAAACCTGATTCCAGTTTTATAATCAAAAAAGACATTAGCTGCGGTTGTTATTTATATGGCCCAAACATTTTTCAAGTATGTATACGTCTTTGTATACTTAGCGTTACGTACCGCACTTTTTAAATGTTGTTTTTATAGAAAAAAAACGAATTCTTAAACATTAATGTTATATATCTTATTTTATTTTACGGCAATTAATTCGTTATTGTAGCAGTAATTACTACATGTTTACATGGAATTAATAAATTCATGAAAAAATGCAATATTTCCAAATAATACTATGAGAATATTACATTAATGAAACGAAAACATTTGACATTTAGTAACAGTCTTTTAATTTTATTATTTAAAAAATAACTATTAATTTTGTTCTAAGAACTGCATTTTCTCATTAACATTTTCTACTGAATTTATGTAACACTGTTTATGATATTGCAGATAGAATTCAGTGGTGCAACACAAATCAATAACAGATTCGAAGGTCCGATATATGTGATTAACACGCACAATTGGCGGGACCCTGGACCCTTCCAGGAAGCAATACAACTCACGCTGGAGAGTATCCAACCTGCGCAAAATAAACTTATGGATATTTTCAATGGCAATTGGTTTTTCCATAATTATAAATAAGAACATGTAAGCTAAGATGAATTATAGTCAAAGACACGTTGTTTCATATAATATTGATGAGATTATTCATAAAATTTATTAAATATTTAATAGATTTAAATGTATTTATAAACAAAATATAATAAACATTATTTCATGAAATAGTAATAATCTTTCTTGTATCTGTCGTTTACTTGAGATTGGATTTTATTCTGTCAAAAAACTGGAACACTTTTTTTAATTGAATATAATTATAATGTTCTTAACTAAGTGCTCTTATTTCATTGTCAATGATTATTCTTAATACAATAAATGCAGCAAATAAAACTAATTTCATCTCTTCCAAGCCTTGTGCCGTCACTTTCACAGCGCTTAACAAATTTCGGACAAATCGTTGTGTTGAAAAGTTGTAAATATATATTTGACAGATATGTTTATTACTCCTCAAAATCTATTTATCAAAATTTTAAAGGCCATGCTATTACGTAACTATAAATGCAATAAATAACAGCAAACAATACTTAAAAATTATAAAATATGTAAAAAAAGTTTACATTTCCCATTCTTCAAACATTTTTAGAGTATAATAAAAATTTTTTATCACCGGATTATTAAATAGTTATAAAATCAACATAATACCAAACAATATTATGATAAAAGTAGTTTTTGAATTTTTTTCTCACGTTACATATAGCAATCAGACACCAAATAAAACTTTATGACTCATAATAACAGGAAGCGCCCTTGATATGATGATTCTAATCATGTTCATATTGTATAAAGAAGCTTGAAAGAAGAGTAGCGGCAGCGTACAGGCAGTTCGATGTGAGACGTTTCGCAAGATGTATGTCACATTGATTCCGTTTTTCCTAGGTCGGTAAGCCATTAAGTGCTATTCCTAAATTTATATATGTGTAAACCATTCAATGTAAAAAATAAAAATTATTAATCCTATTATTTTATTGATAAAAACAAAATTCTAATGCATTATATCTCTGACCAAATTTCTTGTTTACTTATTTAGCGGCTAACGTAGTGATCAACGACACATCGAAATGACTTTTGGACCAGAATATTCGTTTAATTTGCAAATAACCCACAACAATATATTCGTGAAAGAGCTAACCCAAAACAGAGGAAATCGTTTCTCGAAATTTAAGTGTCAGCCCAAGATGGAAGACAGACTGTTTTGCGACATACAGTATTCTTTGAATAACATAGAGGATCCAAAAGGGTCTGTCCCACATACTTCAACAATATTCGAGATGAAGTTCAATGAGAGCGGTGTAGAGGGAATATTAACTAATTCATCAGATCTCTCTGAGAAGAAATTAATGCAAAATATCGCCAAACAGTTCAGCACCGGTATCGATGTACAGCGCAATTTTAATGGTGGTTCTTTATCCTGGGATGAGAAAGCAATATTTAATGGAGAAATGTGTTGGATGAGTTACACATTCAAATATTTTAAACCGAAAATAAATATGTTAAAACAGAATATTGATTTCCAGTTAGTGATATTGCCAATGTTTAATGTAAAACCTGTGATTGCATTTTTAGAATCGAAACATATTTTAGCTGCTATGATTATCTGACTATGCCGACCATCTTTCAAGTATTTATACGTCTTTGTATATTTAGCGTTACGTAGCGCATTTTTAAATTTTATCTTTACAAAAAAAAAACAAACTCTTAAACATTAATCTTATATATTTAATTTTGTTTTATGGCAATTAATTTGTTACTCGTTATAGCAGTTATTTTTACATGTTTACATGGAATTAATAAATTCATAGAAAAGTGTAATATTTATAAATAATACGATTAGAATATTACATTAATGACACGAAAGTATTTGACATTTAATAACAGTCTTTTAATTTTATTATTAAAAAAATAGCTATTAAGTTTAATATAAAATATATATTTTGTCATTAATATTTTCTACTGAATTTATGTAACACTGTTGATGATATTGTAGATAGAATTCAGTGGCGCAACACAAATCAATAACAGATTTGAAGGTCCGATATATGTGATTAACACACACTATGCGCAACACTTTGGACTCTTTCAGGAAGCAAGACAACTCACGCTGGAGAGTATCCAACCTGCCCAAAATAAACCTATAGATATTTTCCATTACATTTGGTTTTCTCCATATATAGATAATATATAAATGAAAACGTGTAAACTAACATGAATTAAAGTCAAAGACGTGATCTTTCAAACGATATTGATGAGATAAACTATAGAATTTATTGAATATTTTACAGATCTAAATGTATTTATAAACAAAATATAATAAACATTATTTCATGAAATAGTAATAATTTCTTTCTTGTATCCGACATTTACTTACAACTGGATTTATTTTATTGAAAAAACAGGAACACTTTTCTTAATTGAATGTAATTATAATGCTCTTAACTAAGCGCTCTCATTTTATTTCATAGAGTATTCTTAACAATACATGCAGTGAATATAACTAATTTGATCATTTCCAAGTCTTGAGCCGTCATTTTTACAGCGCTTAACAAATTTTGGACAAATCGTTGTTTTAAACAGTTGTAAATATATATTTGACAGATATGTTTATTGTTCGTCAAATCTATTTATCAAAATTTTAAAAACCTTGCTATTCCGTAACTGTAATTGCGACAAATAACTGCAAAAAATACTTAAAAAATATAAAATATGTCACTAAAGTATATCTTTCCCATTTCTTAAAAATTTTTAGAATATAATAGAAATTTTTTATCACCAAATTATCACATAGTAATAAAATAAACATATAAACAGACAATACTATAATAAAAATAGAATTCGTTTTTTTTTCTCACGTTATATATAGAAATCAGACACCAAATAAAACTTTATGAATCATAGTAACAAGAAACGCCCTTGATGTGATAATTCTAATCATGTTCTTATATATAGAAGTTTGAAAGAAGAGTAGTGGTAGTTAGTAGTGAGACGCTTCACAAGATGTATCTTACATTGATTCCGTTTTTCCTAGGTTGGTAAGCCATTAAGTATTATTTCTAAATTCATATATATGTATACCATTCAATGTAAAAAATAAAACAAATTAATCTTTTTATTTTATTGATAAAAGACAAAATTCTAATGCATTCTTTTTTTTTCGTTGTTATTTATTGCTATTATAGTTACGTAATAACATGACTTTTAAAGTTTTGATAAATAGAATTTTAAGGAGCAATAAACATATCTGTCAAATATATATTTACAACTTTGCAAGACAATGATTTGCCCGAAATTTGTTATACACTATGAAATCATTAACCAAATTTCTTGTTTACTTATTTAGCGGCTAACGTAGTGATAAACGACACGTCGAAATGGACTTTTGGACCAGAATATTCGTTCAACCTGCAAGTGACCCATGACAGTATATATGAGAAAGAGCCAACCCGAAAAGTTTTCTCGACGGTAAAATGCCGTCCCAAGATGGAAGACAGTTTGTTTTGCGATCTTCAGCACTTCAAGACTTCTGTCAAACAAAAAGAGATTGTTCTCCATACTTCAATAATATTCGAGATGAAGTTCAATAAGAGCGGTGTAGAGAAAATATTTACAAATTCGTCAGATCCCTTTAAGAGAGAATTAATGCAAAAAATCGCCCAACAGTTGAGCACTGGTATCGATGTACAGGACAATTTTAATGGTCGTTCTTTATACTGGGATGAGGAAGTAGTATTTCATGGACTCAATTGTTGGATGAGATACAAATTCAAGTATCTTGAACCGAAAATAAATATGTCAAAACAGAATACTGATTTCCAGTTAGTGATATTGCCGATGTTCGATGTAAAACCTCATTCCATTTTTACAACCGAAACATATTTTCACTGCGATATTCGGACTAAACCGATAATTTTTCAAGTAGGTATACGTCTTTGTATATTTAATGTTACGTGGCGCATTTTTAAATTTAATCTTTATAAAAAAAAAAAAAAACTCTTAAACATTAATCTTATATATTTAATTTTGTTTTACAGCAATTAATTCATTACTCGTTATAACAGTTATTTCTACATGTTTACATGGAATTAATAAATTCATAGAAAAATGCTATATTTCCAAAAAATACGATTAAAATATTACATTAATGAAACGAAAGTATTTGACATTTAGTAACAGTCTTTTATTTTTATTATTGAAAAAATAGCTATTAAGTTTGTTATAAGAAATATATTTTGTCATTAACATTTTCTACTGAATTTATGTAACACTGTTTATGATATTGCAGATAAAATTCAGTGGCGCAACACAAATCAATAACAGATTCAAAGGTCCGATATATGTGATTAACACGCTCAATTTGCGGGACCCTGGACCCTTCCAGGAAGCAATACAACTGACGCTGGAGAGTATCCAACCTGCTCAAAATAAATTTATAAATATTTTCAATGGCAGTTGGTTTTCTCCATAATATATAAATAAAAACGTATAAGCTAACATGAATTAAAGTCAAAGACGTGATCTTTCAAACGATATTGATGAGATAAACTATAGAATTTATTGAATATTTTACAGATCTAAATGTATTCATAAACAAAATAAACATCATTTCATGAAATAGTAATAGTTTTTTTCTTGTATCCGACATTTATTTACAACTGGATTTAATTTTATTGAAAAAAACAGGAACACTTTTCTTAATTGAATGTAATTATAATGCTCTTAACTAAGCGCTCTCATTTCATTTCAATGATTATTCTTAATACAATGCATGCAGTGAATAAAACTAATTTAATCTCTTCTAAGCCTTGAGACGTCACTTTTACAGCGCATAACAAATCTCGTACAAATTGTTGGCTTGAAAAGTTGTAAATATATTTTTGACAGATATGTATATTGTTCCTCAAATCTATTTATCAAAATTTTAAAAGCCATGCTATTACGTAACTGTAATTGCAACAAATAACAGCGAAAAATACTTGAAAAATATAAATTTTGTCAATAAAGTATCTTTTCCATTTCTTAAAAATTTTTAGTGTTTAATAGAAATTTTTTATCACCGAATTATCAAATAATTATAACATCAATATAATACCAAGCAATCTTAAAATAAAATAGTTTTTGTATTTTTCTCTCATGTTACATATAGAAATCAAACACCAAATAAAATCTTATGACTCATAATAACAGGAAGCGCCCTTGATGTGATGATTCTAAACATGTTCGTATTGTATAAAGCAGCTTGAAAGAAGAGTAGCGGCAGCGTACAGGCAGTTCGATGTGAGACGCTTCACAAGATGTACGTCACATTGATTCCGTTCTTTCTAGGTCGGTAAGCCATTAAGTACTATTTCTAAATTCATATATATGTAAACCATTCAATATAAAAAAGAAAAAATATTAATTTTTTAATTTTATTTATAAAAGACAGAGTTCTAATGCATTATATCTCTGACCAAATTTTTTGTTTACTTATTTAGCGGCTAACATAGTCGTCAACGATAGGTCGGAATGGACTTTTGGACCAGAATATTTGTATAACCTGCAAGTGACCCACTTCAGTTCGGAGAAGCTACCCTGGCACAGAAATGTTTCCTCGACGGTAAAGTGTCGCCCCAAGATGGAAGACAGTCTGTTTTGCGACCTACAGTACTTCAAGACTTTTGACGAACAAAAGGAGTTTGTCCTCTATACTTCAGTAATATTCGAGATGAAGTTCAATGAAAGCGGTGTAGAGAAAATATTTACTAATTCGTCAGATCCCTTTAAGAGGGAATTAATGCAAAAAATCGCCCAACGTTTTAGCACTGGTATCCATGTACAGCGCAATTTTGATGGTGATTCTATATACTGGGAAAAGAAATGGATTATAATAAATGGAAACGAGTGTTTTGTGAGATACAGTGTCGAATATCTTGAACCGGAAATAAATATGTCAAAACAGAATAAAGATTTCCAGTTAGTGATATTGCCGATGTTCGATGTAAAACCTGATTCTAGTTTAGAAGTCATAGGATATCTTTACTGTAATGATCATTGTTCTATCCCGATTGACTTTCAAGTATGTATACATCTTTGTATATTTAGTGTTACGTAGCGCACTTTTTAAATATTATTTTTATAGAAAAAGAACGAATTCTTAAACACATTAATGTTATATACCTTATTTTATTTTACGGCAATTAATTCGTTATTGTAGCAGTTATTACTACATGTTTACATGGAATCAATGGAATTCATGAAAAAATGCAATATTTCCAAATAATACTATGAGAATATTACATTAATAAAACGAAAATATTTGCTATTTAGTAACAGTCTTTTAATTTTATTATTAAAAAAATAGCTATTAATTTTGTTATAAGAAGTATATTTTGTTATTGACATTTTCTTCTGAATTTATGTAACACTGTTGATGATATTGCAGATAAAATTCAATGGCGCAACACAAATCAATAACAGATATGATGGTCCGATATATGTGATTAACATGCACTATGCGCAACACTTTGGACTCTTTCGGGAAAAAATACAACTCACGCTGGAGAGTATCAAACCTGCCCAAAATAAACCTATGGATATTTTCAATGGCAGTTGGTTTTCTCCAATAATATATAAATAAGAACATGTAAGCTAACATGAATTAAAGTCAAAGACGTGATCTTTCAAACGATATTGATAAACTATAGAATTTATTGAATATTTTACAGATTTAAATGTATTCATAAACAAAATAAACATCATTTCATGAAATAGTAATAATTTTTTTCTTGTATCTGTCGTTTACTTGCGATTAGATTTTATTTTGTCAAAAAACTGGAACACTTTTTTTCATTGACATGACTCATTGAATGTAATTATAATGCTCGTATTGCTAGCTAAGTGCTTTCTTTTCATTGTCAATAATTATTCTTATCTTTACTATAATGCACATGCAGCGAATAGAACTAATTTGATCTCTTCTAAGCCTTGTGCCGTCACCTTCGCAGTGTTTAACAAATCTCGGAAAAATTACCAAATTGCAAATTGCAAGTCTTGCAAAATTGTAAATATATATTTAACGTTATTCGCTTTTCAAATATTTTTTTGTCGCTATGATAACAGCGGTTATTCCATTATGCAAAAAACGATTGCGGTAAAATATTTAAGAAATCTAAAGCATATTAAAGAAATTTTTAAATTATGTTATAAAATATTTTAGAAGTATAATAATATTTATTTTTATTTACATTCTATTAAGTCCAACTACATTAGCACTAAAAAAATATTAAACTTGAAAAACTCTTTTATTTTACATATATAAACGTATGTATAGAGATGCAAATCAGTAATATCTTATGAATCACAATAAACACAAGTGTTCTCGAACATTATCTTGTTAAACTCTCATCATATTCGTATAATTTTTGAAAAAAGTATGTTATTGTGCAAAGATATAAATAATATTTGGCAGAGATATTTTTCGATCTTTAAATGTTTTTCTTACTACGATAAATGGTCAAACTGTTATCTCATATGCGAACATATACATACATATATATGAGATACAGACATAATATAATTCTCTATAAACGTAACGTTGTTGAACATTATCGTTTTAAATTATGAGTACGTTTTTGTTTAAAACAAGTTGTAAATGTGAGAAGAGTAATATTGAACATAAAGTGTAGTGTGAGCACTCTGCATGATAAACGACTCTGATTCCGTTTTTTCTTGGTCGCTAAGATACTAAATATTGTCTGAATCAATAAATATCGAAACAAACGTTTGGATGGGCATTAAAACATAATTATTTTTTACAATAAAATATCGCCCTAAAATGACAAACAATGTTTGTCATCTACAGAACTCCACGAATTCGATGCTTTTAGCATTTAAGAACCGCAACATGACGCGTGAAATCGAGACAGCTCAAATGTTCGGGATTAAATTTAACGAGCGCGATGTGAAGAGTCTATTAGTTGCAAGCTGGTACGATTATCTCAATCAAGAAATCTATGATAAAATGCAATAATTCATTGCGACAATTTCGCAAGAGGAATCGTATATGTTTGTTCTGAATTTTTTAAATTCATTCTGAAAGAAGACATTAATTCTTAAATATTGATTTTATACAAAAAATTTTATTTTACAATTAGTTATATATGCAAACACCATTATATCTGTACGAATTAAGAAATTAGTGAAAGAAAGCAAATAATAATTAAATAATAAGATCATAATACTTATATATTTTTATTATGGTAAAAATGGAAAACATTCAATATTTTGTAATATTTTAATAATTGCTGTTGATTTACTACTAAAAAATTATGAATGATTAATTTTGAGTTTTATTTTTTCTATCAATATATATTTAATTTCAATTTATATATTTTACAAAGAAAATATTTTTTAGCAGAATACAGATCAATAACAGATTTGAAAACGTCACCGAGCAGGATGGCAGTTTACTAAGAATTTCTACTGGCAAATTGCAGATAATTCCATTTAAGGAAATTATACAACTCGAACTAGACAGTATCATACTCACGCAAGACAAACCTCCGTCTTTTTCTAATGGCAAATTGATCGATATAAATATTAACACTGATTTTTAACATCCAGTATCTTCATAAATTAAACCAATAAAAATTGTGCGGTTAAGTGGCATTATTAACTATGTGCAATTATACAAATAAAATTACATCTCTCCTAAATATATTGCATTTATCGTTCACAATTTATTCTCTGCATATATATAATTATTTTTCAAATGTTATTTTATTTCAATAAAATACTGAACACAAATTCAAAATTATGAAAAGGTGTCATTTTTTCTCGTATTATGAAATATTACTAGTTGTACAAATTTTTATATTCGTACAATTATATAAAGTGATAATAAAAAGAATATTAAAATTGAAAAAGTCTGTATATTTCTCTAACGTGTGACATATGTAAACGTACATCAAATGCAGATGCAATACAACTCAATATAAACGCAAGCATCCTTAAACATTATCTTGTTAAATTCTCATCATGTTCCTATATAGTGATGTTTGCGAGTATAAGAAGAGTAGTATCAGCGTATGTGCAGTGTGCAGTGAGACACTTCACAAGATGAATGTCACCGTCATTCCGTTCTTCCTAGGTCGGTAAGCCACTACCAAGTACTACCCGTATCTATATATATATATCATTCAGTGTCACATTCATTAAAAAAAATAAATTAATTGGATGATTGACGATCAAATTTCTTATTTATTCATTTAGCGGCCAACGTGATCGTCAATGATACATCGGAATGGGTTTTTGGACCGGAATATTTCTACAATCTGAACTTAAACACCACTTATGTAAACGTCCCGGAAAACTTTTCCATGCCTAACGAAGTGCGGTTGTTCATGACGATGAAGTGTCGTCCTAAAATACCGAACCGTCTCCTTTGTCTCATTCTGAATTCAACGTATACAGATTCCTACAGAGGACTCCTGCAGAGCTTGACAAGAACGACCTCATTTCCATCGTTCGAGATTAAATATAACAAACGCGGTATAGAGAGTCTATTAATCAACTCAACATTTGTGAATGCAAATGAGGGAAAGTTCAATGTCATCAAGAGAATCGCCAATCAGTTGAATCTAGGTGTCAATCTGAAAAGGAATCGCGACACATCACGTTTCAAAGGCGTGGAGAACACGTCAATGGGTATTTGCACGACCAGATACGAGATCAGCCGTAATGAATCCGAAACAGAGCCGGTCAAAGAGAATATCGATTTTACACTCTTCGTACTACCGATGACTGACGCAAAACCTGGAACGACTGTTTCAATCGAGAAGTATAGAACGAGATGCATCAATTCACCGCGTCGTTTGTATTCGCGAGTCTTAAAAATGGTACGTGGACATTGTATTTCTGCATTTTTTTATTTATCCGTAAAAAATAAATTCCTAAACTGAAAAAAATTAATTCCTAAACGTTACATTTATATTTCCAAAGACACTCAAATATTTTGTAATGGTCTAATTAATTTTACTTAAAAAATTTCGTTTTTCTTTCGCTTTAATTTTAACTTTTATTACACCTATATTTTGCAGGAGAGATTCTTCAGCAAGATGCAGATCGGCGACGGATTCGAAAGCTTCAGCAAACTGGATGGAAAATTAAGAACATATTCGACCCACTCTAACGAAACCTTCCTTTTACCGTTTAACGATGTCATGCATCTCAATCTAATCAGCATCAAGCCCGCACAAAATGACATTCCTAATATTGACTCTGGCAAATTGTACGAACTAAATATTAACACTGCACCTGACCAAGAAAGTTATGAATTATATGAATAAGATAAGCGCGCTTTATATGGCATTCATAGATAGATTATGTATATGAGAAAAATTTGTCAATGTTAGATGTTTAATTAATTTAGATGAATTCTGTGAATAAAGATTAATATACAGCATTTCGTGAAATAATGCCTTCTATATTTATTTGTAACTTTAATTTATCGAAAAGCAATGACCTTTAATAATTACGTGTAATTATAAGTAAAGATACATTTATCTTAAATGTATTTTTTATATTTTGCGAATTATTCAATTATCTCTAACTGTTTAAAGCGAGAATGGCAAAAACATTCCTGAGTTGACATAACTTTTTGAATATTATCATAGTGCTTCCAACAAAGATTTTTTTTCATTGTCAATGATTATTCATGGTAGTGCACTCAATAAAAAGAATTTTTGATTTTATCTGAAACTCGCACGCACGTAACACATTTGCATTACTTAATGAATCTCTCACAAATGTTCGTTACGTAAACGTAAATAGTGTATATAAAATAACGCTATGACGTAAAATAAATTTTTCATCCTCTTAGATTCAAGTAGAACAATAATATTAGTTCCACAAAAACATACTTAGAGCCAAAAAATTTTTATACTTATTTTATGTTATACATATATGAACTGTATATTTCTGTGCAAATGCAGACGTAATATCCTATGATTCGCTATAAACGTAAACGTTGCTGAATATTATCTTGTTAAATTATGAGCACGATCTTATATAAAGGAGCTTGATAGTATAAGAAGAGTTGTATTAGCGTACGTGCAGTGTATATTAAGGCATGTCGCGAGATGAATGTCATCTCGATTCATCTATCAAAAAAAAAGAGTGAAAATGGCAGTGATACTTTCCACTTGACATAAATCTTTGACTATTATTAGAACTTCTGGCTAAACGCTTTCGCTTTATCGTCAATGATCATTCCTGGTACAATGCACGCAGTACAGAGAAACTAATTTGATTTCATCTAAAACTCGTGCGTGTAACGACACTTCTGCTTAATGAATCTCCGAGAAATATTTATGTTTCAAACATGCATATTTATTGCCGGAAATAGATACTTTTCGGTCTTTAAATATTTTTATCGCTGCGTTATAATTATCTTGCAGCTATAATTGCAAGGAATAATTGCGGAAAATTCGAAAAATATAGGGTAGATATATAAAAAAACGTGCGATATTTCACTGTGTGATAAAATAACGCCAGCTTGCAAATTTGTTCTGTCCGTGCATTTAATTATAGCGATAATGTTAATTAATTCTACGAAAAGATTAAGATCAAACTCGAAAAAAATTCTTACATTTTCATTTGTATTATATGTGTGCTGATGAGCGTACGTCAGATACAGACGTAACACGCGTCATCCTGGGCATCACTACAGACGCAAGCGCTGTTGAACATTATGCCGTTAAATTATGAGCACGTTCTGATATAAAGGAGCTTGCGAGTGTAAGAAGAGTAGTATCAGCGTACGTGTAGCGTATAGTGAGGCACGTTGCCACGAGATGAACGTCACTCTAATTCCTTTCTTCCTAGGTCGGTAAGCCACCAACAAATACAATTACCATAAATCCACGCGCATGCCTTTCATTAAAAAAAATATATAAAGATTATTTTTGAACACTAACAATAACAATAGTGGACACAGAAATAGATTCTCTTCTTCATAGATAACGATACTGTGAATATATAATATTGTGTTATTATTCTATTATTTCTATCGTCTGATCAAAACTTCCTGCTTATTTATTTCAGCCGCCAACGTGATCGTCAACGACACGTCAGAATGGAAATTAGGGCCGGAATATACGTACAACTTGAACATGACATACACAATGAAATCGGATCCTCACGAGCCCGACCAAATCATGCAATTATTCTCTACAGTAAAGTGCCGTCCCAAAGTGCCGGACAGCCTGTTCTGCCATTTGCAGAACTCCACGACCGTGATGCCGCACAAGGATGGCAATATGACACGCGAGGTCGAGACGGCGCAAATGTTCGAGATTAACTTCGACGAGCGCGGTGTGGGGGGTCTGATGATCGAGCCGCCGTCTCACATGGAGGTCGTGAATGTCATCAGGAAGATCGCAAATCAGTTTAACGTGGGTGCCGATCTGAAGCGCAAGATCGGCATGCCGCAGTTCATGGCCAGGGAGAACTCGTCGATGGGCGACTGCGCCACTGTGTACACAATCACGGACGAGGCGATCGAGACGGACGCGACCGAGCAAGGGGACACTGATTTCCGTCTCGTCGTGTTGCTGATGCCCGACGCGAAACCTGGTACGATCCTCTCAATCGAGAAATCCAGGATAGGATGCATTAATCCACCGCGATACGTCGATTTCGCCACGGGAATCTTAAAAATGGTATGTTTCTATGTCTTTTTTTTCAATTTCATCGCTAAAGAAAAATAAATTCTTAAATATTGATTTTGTATCCACAATTTTGTTTTACGGCAATTGGTTCTTTGCTTCTGTATTCATCAAATGTTTACGAATTAAGAAATAATAATTAATATGAAATGATTTTCATACGATACGATTATAATAGTTAGATATTGTACGAAAAAGAGTAAAATACTTAACAATTTCTAACAGATTAATAATTATTATTAATTTTGCTACTAAAAATGATCAATGATTAATTTTTAAGATTTATAATTAATTTAATTGTTTATTTCAAATATTAACTTTTTTCTATTTATACTCAACTGAATTTATATTACATCTCTTGCAGGGGAGATTCTACAGCAAAATACAAGTCAGCGATAGATTCGAAACTGTCACCGAGATGGATGGAAAAATAAGATTTCCAACTGACTCTACCGCAACTAGGATGATTTCGTTCAAGGAAATGGTGCAGCTCAACTTAGACAACATCAAACCCGCGAAAGACGAACTCTCGTCTATTCCCTACGGTGAATGGATCGATTTGAATATTAACACTGATATACCGAGCAACTTCATCGATTAAAACGGTAACAGATTATAGCGCTTATGTTGTATTCGTAGATAAGTTATAGAATTTTCTGGTATTGAATATTTAATCAAGCGAAATAAAATTATAAACAAAGATTAATAAATGGCATCCATTAAACCCCAAGACTTTCGTTTTCGTATCCGATGTTATAACTTACGATGCTTCACGTAGACAATCCACGACGTTTGATCCGACTGTTTTAAATGTGCAATTAATCTTTTTGCCGCACGCATATTGCGTTTCCGGCTCATATATTTATCGTATCCGATATTTCTTATATATTTCTCAAAATTGCAGCCAAGAAAGTTTCCTTCCGCAGAGCAAAACTGGATATGTACTCGCTTCAAAATTCGGATTCAGATTGATAATACGGTGTGTAATGCACTATCATAGTGCATTTGTCAAAGGTCGAAAGCAAGTGTTACGTTTCCACGAAGTCGTTTAAAAATTAGTGCCGACGCGCCAAGTAAGCTTAAATAAATTACATAATAAGATTGTCCTTAGTGGTGTCAAAGAGGTATAAAAGCAGTTCCAAGTTTAAGAGCAGCGTAGTTTGGACACAGCGAACGCAACATGATTGTTGAAACGTTGATACCACTTTTCTTAGGTAAGCCTGCTGTCAAATTATTTCGCTTTATAATTTGGAAATTATATCCTTTTGAATTTTTCTATAAATTATAGCCCCTCTTTGTAGAAAATGTCATAAATAACGGCAAAATGTAACTCTATTAATAACGAACAATTTTCGTGTTATCAGGCAACCGACAAGTTCGTGCAGTTTTTTGTAAAGTTTGTACCAGCAAAATCGCACAAATTTTGTTGGTCACCTGATATTACAATTATAATAATTAAGATTTAATACCCTTCACCTTATTCACTCTATCCAATTTATCCTTCACCTTATTCTCTGCAAAAAGCGCACAGCAACCGAGAAGACTTTACTCACAAATTGCTTCATCCCGATACTTTCCTTATCAGCCATCCACATTCCTGTCGAGGATGGGACGTGGCAACATGGGCCCGAGTACATCTTCGCCGTTAACATGAATATGACGAGGACACCGCGATGTCCAGAGTACGATCCGTCGTGCGGCGAGCCGTCCGGTTCTCGCATCAAGTCCCGGCTGCATTGCTACCCGACGAAGGATAACAGCCTAGTCTGCAGCCTCAGGCAAGTCGAGGGCTACGATATCGGCGTGAGCGAGGAGGACGGGCACATCGTGAACCGGCGGAAGACCGTCACCGACGCGCCCATCGAGCTCCTCTACGACGACGAGGGCATCGAGCGCGTGATCGCGAGCCTGCAGACGAAGCCCTACGATCTCAACATCCTGAAGACCGTGGCCGAGCAGCTGCACACCGGCGACGACTTCGACGACATCGGACACGGCACGTTCCTGGGCACCGCGCGATCCACCATAGGCAAGTGCAACGTCAGCTTCGCCGTTCAACGTCGTCCCTCGATCGGCAACGCGGTGAGAGGTCGTCGCGGCTTTCTGCTGCAGCCGCTACCGGAAGGCTTGCGTTTGGGACACGGCGAGACGATTGTCATCGACAAGATCGTGCATCTCGACAACTGCAGCTGCTACGCCGAGAATTACTATCGCAGATACAGCGACAGGGTCGTCTGCGAAGACGGACAAGCGGATCTGGTAAAAGCTTGAAAAATTATAAATTAAAATTTGTTAAAAAATTTCAGCAGTATAATTGCGTATAAAAAAAAAACAATATTTGCGTCATGGTGCTCGTTTGGAAAAATGTCATTTCGAAATTATTATATATGAAGTTACTTTTACCTCTCGTCTGTCACTTTATAGGAACGTATGACTAGTCGCATGGAAATCAGTGTCACGAGTTTCGCTTCGTCTACGACAAGGACAGGAACGGTGGATTCGGATGATAGGACGTATGATGTGACGGAGGTGACGCAGGTAATCTTGGAGGATATTCAACCTGCCGCGAGAGACCTGCCTGTGATCGAGAAACCAGGCCAAACGCTGATAGAAGCCAATTACGCGATAACTAAAATGTAACAAAAAAAATTTTCTTTGATTAATAATAAGAATAATTACGAAATATGTGAATATGTTAATTCATTCCAAAGTAAATCGCAGTGAAAGTTGCAATGTGTAGAATCGTGAAAATATATCTAAAAATATATACACAAATTAATGTAATGTACAATGTATTACACGTATTACATACAATAAAGCGACAAAAAATTAATGCTAGAAAATTATTAATAATAATAAGATAAGTCGACCGAATGTCTTAAAATTATTTTTTCCAATATTTTTCGCGCACCAGCGCCATTAATTAATAATAAAATATTTACATTGTACATAGTAAATTTCTTTTATTTAAATTACGCATACATTAAATTATAATTAGGACGATGGACGCATGTTCACGTAAACACACCAATACGGAAATGCGCGTGTGTGTCTATATATGAAATGTACGTATACAATGATCGTCATAAATTCAGAGTTATCCAATGATTGCGATACTTAGCTCTAATTAATTGAATTGCAGATGGCCCTCGAGAATTTCTGAGTCGCGCGATCGAATACAAGATTGACATGAACATTCCTAGCTTGCGTCACGTTAAATTTCAGTTTCCAATCTTCGTCCTTTATCCTCAAATAATTTCATTTCGTCTGCATTACACGAATGCGTCCACGCGCATCTACTTCGTTTCCTCCTGGAATAATGTAACGACAAACAACGAATTTAATATCAGGAACAAATTTTTTTTTTTGAAGAAGTAATAAAAGTATCTATACAAATCGATAACACGCATTGCACTTCATTCATTGTAGATTATTCCTTACATTTTATATAACCAATTAGCGTCCCCTATAATTAACCAATTATCTATCATAGTTTAAGTCAATTGCAAGGAAATACATACTAAATTTTTCATAAATCTCTCCTCTTCGCTGCAATTTCTAAAACTTAATGTACACAATTTTTAATATAACGGGGTTCGCTCTAAAATATTCCTAAAAGAGCTTCAGTTGTTTCCGTTCGTCTCGCGGTCGAGCCTTTCGGTCGTAGGAAACATTTGTCTTCTTAAAGACAATTGATTCTCCGTTCTACATGCGCTGAATACGCATGAAATGCGTCGCGAGAACGCGCAAGATCAAGAGGAACCCGTATCCTTTTTTTTATTCGCAGCGTGCAACCGCGAATATCGTTTTAGCAGTCGCCGTTAGATGCATAAGTACGTTCCGAATCGATTATAAATATCATGTAAATATCGAATCAGGTTTTACACCTCGGTACTTATTAATGGCACGATTACAATGATTTTTGTGCGTCGACGTGTTAGATTATCCTTATTTATTACCGTCCACTTGCAGCGCACACGACGATCCGTCATCGACCGACACTTTTTGAATACACACAATACCTCGAATACATTAATGACATAGAAGCTATTATCGCGCTGATGGCGTGAGCAGATTTCAACGGTGAAGTATAAAAGGCCTTTCTGTTTCAGAAACGGATTTTTTTAGAGCCGGACAAAATCTATAAAAATTTATCGACACCCTCGCGTGTGGTATATAAAGAAATAGAAGATATATGACTCGTGTATAATCGTCGTAAATTACGCTCGATATAAAATGCACTCGTGCAATGTTAATGCGCAGAAAACTGAGCCGACAAGTTTTAGACCGTTGTGACCGTCCGACAGACACTGCGAATCACCGAGAGCGCGTAAAATAACAGTTTAAATAGATCACAAATCTCTTACATCTACACTATCGAATACGTATGTAGCTCGTGTTAAGTATATAATTTATGACTGTACTGTATAATCTGAGTGTGTTGAACTATCATTTGCTCTACCTATGCAGATTTATCTGCCCGAGATATATACAAGATGATCCGGGATTCCTCGATTTTCCTAAGCTTCCAGGGAGATCATTGTTTATTGCAATTTTTACGATACATAATACATTGCTGATTGAACCTGGAATATAATTTGTTTTCGAAGAATCAATTGAGGAGGATCGGGACCATCCTGTATATTCAGAATGTACTTTTTTTCGCGCTTCGAATATTTCTCGATGGTTTCTAGCGTGCTCTGCATCTGCCTGCTTCACGCAAAGTGTTCTCGGTATAAAATCGATTTATACAAACCTGACGTGGTACAACGAGTAGTAGGGGGTGGAAACGAGTGATATGATCGCGGGGAAAGAGAATCCCAAATCGCACGGTAAGATTATCGGTCGCACGTGGTAAAAAAGTATTCAGCGCGAATCCGTGCGGCTGTTACAATCTGCACACTAATCACCTTGTAAATATATTTTCTCAATTTGATCAAAGATTATCATCGATGCGCTTTGATAAAGAATTCATTTGTATCAAAATTATTTTCAACTCTCATATTGCGAGCGAAAATACGCCGTTGTATATATTCGAAGTGTCATTGGCAGCAATTGCACTGTATTGAAATTGTGTTTTACGTAATTTAGTGAAAAAAATATTCCAGCTTTACCAATCATTCGTGTTAAAAAATCCGTAGGTGACAAGAAATTTGAAGATTGTCTTGCATACTCGATGAAGGAAATTATTGTAAAGAGCTTCGATATTTTATTTACTAAATTACGCAATAATCCGTAATCTAATCAATTTATTCCAACTGACAGTTCAATCAATAACGTAAAAGTTCGCATAAAAGAACATCGCCTCTTTTGTCTTTTTTACATTACGAGCGTTTTCTATCTTGTCTTCCTACATCGAACATCCCTAAATATCACGCACACATCGTGCGCAACATCGGAATGTGTATCATAAATGCAAAAACGAAGCCATACCTCGTGCGACATTCGTTCGACAACTCAACAGCAATCGAACGGGATCTCGAGATTTTTTTCAGTCCGAACTTCCCCTTATCGTCACGTGGATTTTCTTCCTAGTAGTGGTACTCTCTTCAAAGAACAAGCTAACCTAGCCTACGTATATACAAGTATTATGCTCGTGGAAGAGGCGCGAGACGGGCGCGGCCCGATCGAGAGTTCTTGTGTACAAAAGATAGACGGCACGTAGGTGGAACGACAGGATGGCCGACATTATTGACCGTTGTTTATGTTGTTGACATTGTTGACGTTGTTCTGTTGATTCTTCACGGAGTCCATGTTCGGGATGTAGTCCATCGCCATCAGGCAGGCGAACACCGTCATCACCATCTTCGGTTTAACCTCGGTGATGTCCTCCGGTAGCGCGTAAACGCGCGCGCCGCACTTTCGCGCTAAGGATATCGCGTACTTGGCATTGTCCAGGTTCTCCTGTGGAAAAAAAGCGGTAATCGTTAATTAGTTAAGCCAACAAAAGGGATATCGGGAGGTCTCGATCTCTCTGGAGCGCTCCATCTTTTAATAATCAATCGGCATAATCAATCGGCTTCCGCGAGCGATAAATGAAAAACAATTTCTGATTGAAATTTTTTAATTAAAACGTTAATTATCGATACGGACTGACGCCTGCGGATATAAAGATTGATATCTGACGGCTGAAGGAAATCATTTCTGGATGTACGTGATCGGGATACGCTGGATAATCAATAAGGACAGTACTTTTGCTGCATAGCTCCGTCCGCTCGGAGACGTTTATGCAATTACAGATTGTTATCCATCGACGTGAGAGACCAGCTAAATAGTTTTCACCGCGCATAACCGAGTTGGTTATATTCTGTTGCATTAAAAACAATTAGAAACCCACGAACGAGCATTTTTATTCACTTTTGGATGCCTTTGTTTTGTGTTAAAAATTATTTATACAATATTCAATCAAAATTTATAAAACATATAATTTGAAATAATTTTTCTATTTTCGCAAATTTTTCTTAGGAAAGCAAATATCATAAATAAAAGTTACAGCGCTCGATGCTAATGATACAGGCGCGACGCGAGTGACACATGATCGATCATCTATAGATATAGTCATCAAGACAGATCGAATTAACCTTGACATTCAACGAGAATAGCTGTACGAGTATGGAAAGGCTTCGTCGTTGAAGCAGCAAACGGAAATCTTACCTGTTCGGTTCCGCCCTCCTTGACGAGATCATAGTTGACTGTACCGGGCTTGATGGCGTCGATAAGATCAATCACAACCTTGCCGTCTGATATCGAGTAATCCTGGAATCCTTTGATGCTGCTGGTCTTACCAGCAGCTTGAAGCTTGGAATTCACCCACTGAACGATCTCTTTCTCCACAAGGGTGCTGCCCTGAGTGCCAGCCAGGGACGTCAGGATGGACAGCGTGTACGATCTCATCAGTTGCCATATCAGAGCCAACGTTAAGGTCGCGTTACCGTCGTTCAGGTCTTGCCCGGCGATTCCCACGAGCGAGAAGTTCATCTGCTTGCCCAGCTCGACGGCGTAATTGCAGTTCTCCAACTTCTCCATGAACTTCCGGAGCTTCGTAAACTTCTTGTGCACCTTGTTCCAGTTCACGGTGCCCGGTTTGATGATATCGTACAGCTGGAAGATTACCAGACCGTCGGCCAGATCGGAGTAGAGCCAGTTGACGTGCGGCGATACGCCCATCGAGTTCATCCAGTTTCTGTAGGTCTTCTCCTCTCGTGTCTCCTCCAGCGATTCCAGACCCTCGATATTGCTCTCCGGCTTGTCCAGTCCGGGATAGTTGTTAAACATGTTGGCGACAAAGGCCAAGTTGAGCTTATAGATGCCGTTTACGACGTCGCTGGGTGTTACGAAGCTACGGCAACCCAGTTTCGCGGCCTGCTGCAGCATGATCTCCGCCCTGGACGTGTGATTCGGCTCCATCAGAGCCTCCAAGGTGACGCCGGCCGAGTTGGGCGCGATCTGCTTGATGAGATAGGTGTAGATCTCAGAATCCGTGATGTCGGACTGGAAGTTGTTGCACCGCCTGGCGATGCCGGCGTTCTCCAAGTGATGATTCACCCATCTGAGAAGAATTGCCTCTGGAGACAGCTTCAACAGGTCTTCGATTCGTTCGCCGTCCTGCAGAAGCGTGGCCAGACCAGGACAATTCTCGAGGGTGATCTGATTGAACAGACCGATTCGGATGATCTGCCAGAGCAGACCCAGCACCAAATGCGGCGAGCCCTTGGTCAGGTCGTGGGCGTCGATGTTTACGATGTTGCAACCGATGGCCTGAGCCGAGGACAAAGCCAGCGTTAAATTCTCGTGCTTCTTGTACAGCGTCAGATTCTTTTTGTTGATCGTGCGCTCGTCGATGGTATCCGGACAGGAATGGTTAATTATTTTACTGAAAGATAAAAATTTATTTTCAATTAAGTTAATCAAATTCATCGACCAAAAATAATAAATTTATTATTCCATTATTTTTGAATTTAAAAATTCATCGAAACTTTGTTACTAATTTCTCGTGGAATAAATATATTAGTTAAATTTAAAATTAATAGGAGTTTAATTAAATTTCTTGCACATTCAATTTTTGAAAAATATGTAAAATAAATGACATTTCAATTCTGCTTCGAAAATGTTTTACACACCAGAGCAGAATTCCGTCTTTGACTTTGTCGTAGAGCGTTTTTCCCTCGGGATCGATGGGCAACAGATGCTTCAGATCGGGATCGTGTGACAGATTGGTATTGATCCAATCGCTGAACGCCAGTTGCTCCTCGAGTCTGACGGAATGCGTGGTGCCTTCGCTGGACGCCTCGGAGATTCCACCCAGAGTTTCGAGGTTCTCCTTCTTCGAGACGACCTGTTTGAACGTGGAACCGAGCTCGTTGGCCTTGAGCTCCTTGCAGAGTTTCTCGAACTCCTCGAAGGAGAGCCGACCCCTGTGCTCCAGCCGCCGCTTGTCATCGTACTCCTCGATCATCTGACGCACCTTGTAGCCGGGCATCTTGAAGCCGCAAACGTCCAGCGCGTTACGCAGCTCGGTGACATTGATGAAGCCGTCTCCGTTCGCATCGATCTGTTGAAAAAAAGTGGATTATCTCAGTTATCGAGTGTTTAAGAATATATTGCATCGTAAAAGTTTTAGAAATCGTAGAACTTTTTCCCATCATTATGGAATGTATATTTGCGCCGGCTTCGACTGCAACTGATTTACGTAAGACGCGAGCATTTTCTTCCGTATTAATTTATCGCACGACTGGAATGCTAGGCAACGATAGCGAACGGCGACGTCTGATAAATCGAACTTGCGACACCACGTGATAGCATTGTGCAACGTATGACAGTAGCTTTTCCGCAATGCGGTTTCCGTCACGATTCCTGTCGGTGCAAAAGGAGATACGTTTATTAAGAAAGGATGATTGCGTACGTGCGGATAATAAAATACAATTAATTTAATGATGAAGACCGGCGTAACAAGCGTTAACAAGTTTCGTAAGGCATCGCGATAATGAAAGGATAACGCTCGTGGAATCGAACGGATGTGAGAATCCTACTGGTTCCATTGTGCGACGTGTTATTTCTTTGTTTTTACAATGCAGCAGTAAATATAATGAACTTTTGTTTTACAAAAAAAGAGAAGAAAGATAGAATATTTTGTAATTTATAATTTTAATTATTGCTACAACAATCAGCATTAACAGAAATGTTCATATGCATAATCCTGGAAAAATAATCCGTGTGACGAATTGTATTTTCTTTTCATAAAACGCAAATCCACAGATATTATACATTTAATTTCGCTATTTAAATTCAAATACAGATTTAATATAAAATTACATTTGTATTAAAATTAAATTTAGATTTGCAAGAGCGCTTTAATTCTTTTTTTTGCATAATCACAATATATCCACCGTGAAACTCCATAAGAAACGCATTGTGTAATAAGAAATGCGCCCACGCGATTCTCGCGGGACGCGAAAGAAATTCAGGTCGCGAAAAAATTCCGCTCTGGGATCCGCGAGCGTATCTAAGCATCGCACGTAGATACGACGATTTTCGCGCGAGAACAATGGGCAATACGGTAACGACGGGAACGGTCACGTGTGCGATTTCTTAGAAGGCTCACATCGGGGTCGATCGACAGTTCTTTATGCCCATTCTTGAGAAATGCTCCCGCGAGCAGTCCCATTCGGCATATGGTCTTGCCAGCTAATTAACATTTTATTCTCGCCAATAAGCCGTCGAATAATCGCGAATGTGAAAACTTCTCCCGCCGAAAGCGCGTGACGATGACGTTAGAGAGGCTCGGCCGACTCGCGATTTATGAAGGAAATCAGTAAACATGAATCAGTCGCCGTGTTTATTCATGCGAGACTACGCAAACCTGCCATTTAACCGTTCAACTTAATTAATGAACGACCAAGTAATTTGCGGATAATGTGATAGATGCGTGGAAAATATCACTCGTAGGATAATTTTAGAGCAGTTCAGATATGCAGTCAGGAGTTTTTCTTCTTTAAATTACATAATTACAAAAAAAATTTGTATTTGTAAAAAAAGATTTTACGATTATTCGTTCTTCTTCGATTGAAACGTCAAATACTTATCAGAGCTGCGCCGGAAGAGAAAATTGAGGAAAATGAAAAAGCTAAATGCACTCACTAATTCAAATAAATGTCGAAAATCCTTAAAGTACTCCTCCATAGAGTCCCACCTTCCCATCATATAAAGTTCCATATCAAAATGAGGCAAAAAACTCCGCGCTATAAAAAAAGGGTCAAACTGTCGCGACACGTTACAACATACTAAGCCTCTCACTGATGGCTTATCAGCCTTATCGACCGCACGATAAAGGGAAAAGTAAGTGAAAAATCGAAATATCACGAAGCGCATCGAATAACAAACATAAAAATCAATTTGTCACATTATTTGCAGAGCTGATTAAAAACAAACTTAAAAAATTTATATTTCTATAATAAATTAAAAATTATTTTTATTATATTAAAATTACTTATATTATATCAAAATTTTTACAATTAAAATTTAAAAACTGCATTGTTAATGTAATAAAATCTGTAACTTTAGAAAAAAAATTTATGTCAACGTATTAACATTTTAAACAATTTTATATGATTATTACGTACCAAGCCAAAAGAAATTAACAATATTAGTATCATATAATTTTCATTGTACTCATTATACGTAATCAGATTAAATGTCATCGCCTGCGCAAAGACAGTAAACTTCTCGAGCTTCTCAATTCACAACCTTCGTCTTAAGCGTCTGATAAACTCGTCAGCATAATATAATTAAATAACCAAGCGTCTCTGTCGCATCTCGGTGTCGTTACGAAACGATAAGAAGAACTTACGCTTTACTCGATCGCGTCTTTCAAAGAACATAATCCGACTTAATGCGTACTTAATACGTGTACTCAATACGTATTTATACGTACAATTTCGTGAACGAGATGCGGAATTCTGTAGTAAAGATAAGATATACGAAATGCGGAATATCTCTGTGCTAAAAATATCGTTATTAAATAACCACTCCAGAGAGAAAAATATTTTGCAGCAAAATGCAAATAAATGTTATTTGACTTTTATGCTGTATGACTTCTCAATTTTTTTTAACATTCGAAATAACCACCGTGCTTTGCGTGTTCCGTAAAATCGTCTTTCACTTTGCCGCGAGTGCACGCGAAATGCGAAACGCGCGAGAGGCACTTCTTTGATGCTCTTCCGTATGCATAACCGACCTGCCGTAAATCCGCTAGCGAGATACGCGGTGACGTAAAAGGGAGTAAAAGTCCAATAACCGAGCATTTGCCCTGTCGACGGCGGTGTAACGCTCACTCTCGCGAAAACGCGCGATTCTTGTCGTCGCTCGTTTCCCCGGCGAATTGCGGCACAAACGAAATCGGCTATGCAATTTATGGACGTATCGGCGGAGAACGCGTGTATCATGCGCGCGCGCGAAGGAATCCGGAAAGCAGATTGCGAACGAGAATCAATTGAGCGCGAATGCGCACCGTTTCGCTCCGCGTGATCCTCTTTTTACTTTTCTTTGGCCGTGTATCGAATCGTAACGACGAGAAATAGTCGAGGTGGAGACACGCCATTATCACGTTATGTCATTTGTGATCGAGCAGTTACGAATATAGTCATTGATTTATTTAATTCTAATTTTTCTTAAATTATCTTCTTGTTTGCTCGAGTACATTCGACTTTGTCACATTTTTAGTAAAATTTAAAAATATAATTGCAATATATTTTAATTATTATGAAAAATAAAGAATTAAATAATCAGGAAGGAAGGGAAAAAGCTGATATTTTATGATTAATGATTTGTGAAAGTAGGAAAGAGTACTTAAAAAAATTGACAGAACATGTAATTTTCTATTTGTAAGGAAAAACATTCGATGGAGATTCAAATAATACATTTTACTGAAAACATGATCTCGATCTCTGAAACGTGCAATATTACATGATAGCACGTCTCTTGATTTTTTGAGCAATCCACATAATACTGGCCTTCGGGCCACGTGCATGTACAGGTTCCAGGCAGCTGGCATACATAGTGCAGGCCGCATTAAAGAGCGCACACCTGTCGTCGGCGGAGTATCAAGGTGAAAAAGCTTTAGCTATGTTTCAATAATGGCTTCTCGTAATTGCTGGAACTGTAGATTTAATTGTTTCTCAGCAAACCGGAGAAATAAACTTATTAGAGAAAGTTTCGTACACTTTTGTTTATCACTCAAAGAACAAACTGGAAGTTTTCTTTACTAATCTGAGAAATATATATAAATATCTAGAAACACTCCCCGAAATTGTGATAAAAAAAACAGCTTCTTCAGGAAGATTACTTATCGTATCCTGTCCGCCGACATAAAAATAACAGCAGATATCGTGCACAGAAAAATATCATCCTGGGCACAGAAATCTGCGCAGAAATTATTTCATAAAATTCTACTCTCGCGTTTGAAATAAAAAATATAATCGCGTTACATCGAGTGCACGTTATATTTAATTTTTGAAATATTTATGCAAATTTCTTTCGAACGTTCCATGAATTTCACCATTCGTCAAGCAAACTCGTTGCGAATCGATTTGCATGTCGTTCGTTGGTGCATATTTATTTAAAACCTCCATGATTACAGTCCTATTTCTCCCTAATCGAGATTCACTTTGTGAAACGCGCACACCGCGAGTCAATTTGCATTCGAAAGTATCGACGCGAACTCTTTCTTCCCGACTGACGGTTTATCGAGCCGCTCACTAAACAGCTGGCCTCGCATATTTTTTCCCCCGTTCTTAATCGGATTAGATATAAATTCCGTATAATTCAGAATAATCGGGATAATTCCGGGGCTATTATTTATGACATAATAATTCCAGGTAATTCCGGATTAGTTATTCAGGACGCTGTTCTTTCCCGTTGATTATTCTAACGAAAGGATAATCCGCGCGGCGGATTTTTCCAGCGCTTTATGCGCACCGCGCTGCTCGGCGGATTACGGGACACCCTGTAGAACCGAGTGCGCGCACACACTCTCCCGGGGTCAGATCTCTCTCTCTCCATCGCTTTTACCCTGAGAACTGGTTTCGCCCGGCATCGCGTTGCAACGGTGTGTTGTCCCGCGTCCTTCCGCGGAAATCATGATTGAATTACACACGCGGGAAAAAGGAGGAACCGGCGGCGCGCCGCTCACTCTCGCAGCGTTAATAGACAATCTCCAGATTAGGGTGAGTGCCCACGTTCATTATGCGAAACCCGGGGTAAAACAAGTTATAACATTGGCCTTAATACGTCTTAATAACAATGATGCCTCCTTGAGCGCGCTATCCGGACGATCGCGCACGCTTTTCTTCCGCGCGATAAATGATAAAGGATGAAATTTCACGAAGCACTGCGGAAAGCGCGAAGCTGACGAAAAGTTACGGAGAACCGGAATTAATTAATTACGTTACAACTTTCAGCGTTCATTATCTTTTGCAATATTTCACGGGGTGTTCAGGATGACAGCTGTGAAACGCGCTGAAATGATCAAGTTACACAGATGTTCTTCTTAATATT